TTTATATACCAAACAAACAAACCACATCGTACCATAAAATAGAAAACAACATTTGTACAATATTTAACAAGTGAAATAAACATCGACCAATAGGAAATGTACATTTAAGGTCCAAGGCCACCATAGACTTAACACGATAATTATTGCTATATTTTTCCTCACCATCCATAACATAAACAATATACTCTTCATCATGTTGGAAATCTTATATTAAATGATTTATGAATACTGGCTGTAATGAGAAAAAGAAACATCTGTTCACTAATTAAGATTACTGAAACATGTGCCCAGGAGACATTAAACAGCTGATTCCTGATAGTTTGGTAATTCTCATGAATAACCGTTCACTAACAGAACTGAAAACATGATGATGAGGTTCTGTCCTGGCAAAACTGTTCATTGTTCCTTTGTTAATTAGTGATGCTACAAACGATGCAAGTTTGTGACGTAAACAATCGTCATTCCATATGAAAACTTACTGATAATGCGGGATGGTCAAAGTTTCCAATTTTCTTAGATTAAACCCATAAAAATTCATAATACAATACCCAAGTTCATTCAGGTTATGATCAAGCCAACTTTTTTCAAACCATAAATACATCAAAAAGATCCAAGCAGCCAACATATATGATTCAAAATTCACATTATTTCATAAGCCTGTGGCGATCTAAACTCAGTAGATGAGTCGACGATGTGATGTATTTTGAAGACACAGGTACTGGATTAGAGTCCCGAAGTGAACATAAAATCTGAAGTGCATTTGGATTAATATGAGCCCCCAACAGAAATATACATTCATTTGGATTCCACAGCTAATCACAATCCATCTCTGTTCAAAATGGTTGTGATCTAATGGCAATATCGAGGCACAAATGCTGAGAGAAACTGATCAATTTCAGTTTCAAACATCAATAGGAACATCCAAACAAAACGCCATCAAAATCATCCACCTGAGCTACAAATCTTCTCCATCATCTCAAAACTATATGTCATTCCCTGTACCTTTCCACTTGCTGAAAAATATCAACATTGGAGATCCAGTGAGTAATACAGTAAGATTTTGAAAATGAACGTTAATTAACTTACTTCAAACAAAACAGTTTATAAAAACTGACCGTTTATTAAACAGAAGGGGTTTTGTGGAGATTTTAGGAATTTTCACTGATTGAAATAATGAGTCAGTTGAAGCTAGTTCACCAATGAAAACCTGGAAGCAGTGGACGGCCGTTTCGTCCTAGTATGGGACTCCTCAGCAGTGCGCATCCAATCAGTGAAAATTTCTAAAATCTCCACAAAACCCTTCTGATAATAATCATCGTATGCTCACTAGTGACTGACTTCAAGAGATACTCCAGGAGTTCTAGTGAGAAGCCGTTACCAGTGGAGTTCAACCAGGTCTGTTGTGAGATATCAACTCACTGAAGACAATGGTGTACGGTGACGCAACTTCTTGGATTGCTTGAAGTTAGAAATTAACACCGTTGGATGCCGGCCGGCTCAGTGGTCTAGTTGGTTAAGCGCCTGGCGCGAGACTGATAAGTCCTGTGTTGGAATCTCGCGGGGTGCGGGATCGTAGATACGCACTGCTGAGGAGTCCTATACTAGGACGGCCGTCCAGTGCTCCCAGGTTTTCCATGGTGGACTGGCTTCAATTGACTAATGATCACAATCAGTGAAAATTTCTAAAATCTTCAAAAAACCCCTTCTGACATTTATTAAACAGTTTACTGAACAGGTAAAAATTTAGAATTCTAGTAGTAATAGTAGTAGTAGAAGAAGAAGAAAAAAAATTTAATAAGGAAAATCTTCAAAGGTGCATAAGCAGGCAATCTGTAAAAAGAAAAACTTGCTAATTTCTTATCATTAAACGTACAAATATCTGTATTCTATTTTTGTAGCATGGTTTTAATGACTAGTTAATGTGTATGAAGATTAGGAAATTCCCAGCTGACAATCTTTTCAAATCATTGATTTTATACTAATGTCAATCAAACGATTGAAAATATTTTTTTATCATCGTTTATATCATTACGTAGTGGATAAAACTCATCATCAGATAATTTTCATTATATTTCAAGGAGTTACATACGTTATTTACAACTGAAAATACATGTGGCTGAAATTATAACTCTCTTCAAAATACCATTAATTTATTTATAACTGTTTCGCTTGACTTATGATGATTATTACAGTTTTGACTACTGACAATTTAACAAACTTAGAATTTCTCAAATCTAACCATATTTACTCCAAGAATATCGATCAGTCTAAAACATCTACTTATTATTGTACAGTAGTTCAAAATTATAATGAAATTTTTCATGACGTACCGTCTGTCTATGATTTAATTATTTACAGTATGGAGTTGTGAAGAGATTGTTAAGTTCTTTTAATGAGATCATAAATCGATCGATTTTAGACCGCCATTGAAAATCTGGAAGCACTGGGGGCCGTTTCGTCCTAGTATGGTGCTCATCAGCAGTGCGCCTTCATGATCCCATGCGAAGGATTCGAACCCACGACAGCGACTAGCTATGTGAGGTGATTCTCGGACTAATAATGATAAACAGTGACCAATGGAGATAATCTGTTTCAAGTAGTCAGGTATCTACCTCAGACAATGGAAGATGGTCACGCAACTTAGTAGATCGGTTGAATTTAGACATTAATACTGTTGGATGCCGGCTTAGTGGTCTAGAAGTTAAGCGTTCTCGCACGATACTAAGGGTCCAGGGTTCTAATCCCGCGTGCAGGTTGATGGAAGCCCACTTCTAAGCAGTCTCATACTAGAACGCAAACGGCCGTCCAGTGAGCTCAGGTTTCCAATGGTGGCCTAACATTGATCGATTGACTGATTTATTTGAACACATAGACATTGATACAAGAGAGCATCACCTACAAATGCGTCACACAATAACACTTAGGTTATGAAGACATAGAATGTAAAGTAGGTATAGTAAAACAGAACAACAAAGAACAGAAATTTCACAATTGATTGATCACTGGGTGGTGATGATCGAATCCGCCAAGGAGCACCAGTTCCCTCAAGATTATAGGTACACCTTACTGACGAGTGCCAAGTAGCACGAAACCCGGGTCCAGGGTTTCCTGTTGACTACCTCCAACCACCATCTAAACAGAAAATTGTATATGTGAGTGAAATAACAATAATAATGGGAGAAACAATTCAGTTAGCAAATGTACAACCAGAAAGAATTATTCCACTTAAAAAAGTTACGTCCACTTCCAATGAAGAAAGTAAAAGAAAAAAAACACCAGGATCGCCACTGGCTTCCATTCTCATCCATATCTCATAACCTATCTAGCCACTGTGTTGTACAATTTATAGGACCCAAACAAGAAAGTCGTGAACGACCAACAAAACACAGTTCTCTACAGCTTTCTTTCATACCACAACACCATGTCATACACTGAACACCACTTCTTCTAACCACTACCAGCGTATGTAAGTAATACACGATGTGATATTCTCTAGGACGACATCCGTAGTACACGACCAAGCCACCGAAGTCCATATTTCAAGATGGTCACACCAACACAATTGTCGTCTCTGTACACGAACATCCGCATTATTAACATGGCATTGCCACTAGATGTCATCAATCCTTCGGAGATTACGATCATCAAACACAGAGAGTCATCTAACATCCTCAACTCGAAGAGGCCAGCTTCAACAACAATAAAGCAAAACTGCTCTCACGACGTGTTGTAGGTCAGATCCTTTACAGCCAGACTAACATCATCAAGGCACCAACGATGGCCAACATTGGCATAAACCGCTCTAGCTTTCACTACACATCAATTGATCTCATCACTCATACAACCGCCTGCACTTACGCACCTACCCAGATACACCATCTTCTCAACTACTTCTAGCTGCTCACTACTCAGAGTAAGTGCAGGATCAGGGTCCTGCCAGTCTTGTAAAAGTACTTTGCACTTCGAAGGTGCAAGGCAGATGTAATACCTACGGACACTGATTAAATGCGGATTTTATGAATTGAGTATCAAGGTCGAAAAGTCTTTTTCCGGTCAACGAGTCCACACTACCACTACCTACGTCCATCATAACTGCTTTCAGATTTCATTCATTTCTATCTCACTCTTTCTTATATTCTATTCGATAACGCATGAAAAATTCCAAGATATTAAAAGGTTGGAGGTTGTTAGCAATAAACACTGAAACTCATTGATAGAATCCTATCACTAAAGAAGTAGTCAAAAGCCACATTGGCTACTGCTTGAAGACTAATCAGTATAAACACTGCGATCCAAATTAAGTCAGTCCCGAACTAAAAAAATTCAGTAGTAAAGTCTCAGGATGAGGCTGAAAACTTACAAGAAGCATCAGTCCCATCAGGACTCCAGATAAATTTACTGACGAGTATCACCTAGTAAAGAACCTATATTCAAGGTCCCCCGCTTTAAACCACATCATATCAAAAACAGATTTGCAAAATAATCAATCATCTCACGACAAATCTCGTTTTCCAGCTATACAACGTATCCTGCAATATCACAATTAATTAACAGGCTATAGATTTCCCTTTGGGCTCAAGGCATGGGATAGGGGAAATTTTGTAGATAATGAACTGATAGGAGCATATCTTGTGTTGGAGCTCAACGTTAAATATCCAGATCATACGCATAACTGGTCAGGTCTAGGCCGCTAGGCTACGGATGGAGAAATAAAAGTGGAACAAAGGGAAAGCTGTAATCAGAATTCTGATTGTTGAATTAATTGCATCGTATAAGTTATTGTCTCAATTCATAAGAAAATCCTTCATCTTTCTAGATGTTTTCAAAATAATGAAGGAAACTATGTATATGAGAGGCTTTTATTCAATTCCGATTAGACGAAGCGGTTTCAGCATTTTCTAGACTTTTAGTGATTTTATCGATGGATATTTGTGACCTTGCGACCGTTATAAATGATAGTTTACATCAGTTTGAACCTACATAATAATTATACACATATATCAGGAAGTTTTTACTTATAATTGAATTGAAAACTCTCATAACTTTAAATGACAAGATAAGATCACTTCATCAGTATAAATCATTAAAATTTTATTCATACAAATCAAAACAAAATAGAATAACATGAAACACGTTGAATATAATTGATATAAACAAAATGGACATTTGTAATCTATTCAAGATGACTGAAAATGTTTATTATTCACTATAAAATAATCGTTCAATATGACCTTAATGTGTTTCTATCTAACAAAACAACAATAGTAATAATAATATTAATAACGGTGTTAATGATGATGGCGATAGTAGTATTAATAATAGCTAAGAGGAAAAAGAACTAATTGAAATAAATTATTAAATAATAAAGAGTATACAATTATGAACAAAAATACCTAAGAATTATACAGATATATTATAATAATAAAATGTTCTAATGTAATCAAATGATCAATGAATATAACATTGCACAAATAGAGTCGAAGGTGTGGATTTATTTACGTTTTTCTTTATTATGACATGTATCATCAATAATTTGAATACATTTAAAACAGATTTATTCAAGACTGTTTCACTTTATTCATTATTGCGAAATGAGAATTTGGATTATTAAGTAAGTCTTGAGGATGACCAGTTTCAATCACTTGTCCATGATCTAATACAACAATCCTATATTTTTATTTTTTGAAAATAAAACAGTGTAAAAACAATAGTTAATAAAAGATAGTTGAATAATATAACATTCATATGAATGTTACGTAATAACCAGTATTAAACAGAAACACTGTCATTAGCCTTTATCTGCTTAAAATGTTGATATTTTAAAACCCTAAAACCCGCTGTGCTAATGTGGTATGGCAACTCGAACTGATGTACTTACGTACGCACGAAGTTCTACGTTGTCACTGACTGACTGACCGGATTTTAAAACCCTTATATACTCAAACAATCTCGAATTTACTAAGTAACGCTGGGGGCTATTGAAATTAAAAAAAAAGAAACTGTAGACCATATTAATGTATTTTTAAAAGAGGAAATTTGTAAATCTCACATTACCCTGGTAACGTTTTTATAATTCTTTCGATCATTTATTTTAGTTTTATACATTTTACTCTATTAATTTGTCCAATGTTATGGTTGTTGTTACATGCTGTTGAGATATTATTCTACATTCTTGAATGGTGCATATATATTTGGTGCCCTCTTGTACTAATATTTATGTGTTCATTCTATCGAAACATGCTTTTATGATTACTATTGTTTTGTGTTTTAGGTTGTGAACAGCTGAATATAAATGAATTCATCTTATTCCACTATGTTTGTTATTCTTACTTCAGTTAAATCAATCTGAAATCTAAACAGTACTAAATTAATTCGATTTTTTGAGTATCAACAGTTTGCTTATCACAACTACATGTGATACATATTTTTAAAAGGTTTAATATATATACATATTTCTTAAAAGAAATATGTTACATTAAAACATGATTGCTTATTCATAATATAGAATTTCTTATCAACTATCAATTTGCGTAATTAGTTTTTGACCATGTGACATATTTATAACAAACCAGATGTAACTGAAATCAATTTTCACCATATATTTGAAGAAGGCTAAATTTATACGACTCAGGTCCAATATTTCTCGAATTTCATCAAGCCACTGCTGAATATCAATTAAGATATAAACGAAACTGTATTTAATTTGATCTCATAGAATCTAATATTGAAGTATATACATATTGGTGTTTATAATAAAAACATTAATTGTAGCAGCAGAGTAAAGTGGTATTGTGTTGCCTGACCTCGATATGTGATGTCAGCTGGTGTAAGAGTGTGTTGAAAGAAACTTAGATGAGGCCAAATGTAACATTAATCTATGATGTTATTGACTATTATACTAAGTCATGTTGGAGGATGTGGAGTATTTGGCTAGGATCAGTATGATTTTTGTGACCAATAGTTGATGACGTTGGCTTGGAAACAATTAAAATGGCGCAGATGCATTCCATTTTTATGTGCCCTTAGATACTGAATTTCAGAATTACTTTACAAATTTTGTTTTATGAATTTACTTCTTTTTAAATAATCTCCAACCCTAATCTTTATGTAATGTAAAAACAAATTACAGATTGTAAGTATCCAGTAGAAAACAAGCGATATATTCTATATAATGTTTTTGTCTTTTTTCTATTCTGAATGATAAACATCAGAGTGAATTTTCATATTCGAAACCCTCATGGTTTAACTAACTGACATACAGAAACACAATTGAATAAAATATAAAACAGTAGGTAAAGATACGACAACACAACAACAACTCATTGAAGTGACAGGACAGTGGTCTCCTTCTTTAATCCTAAAGATAAGTTTTAAGAATATATTTACAAACATTTAAAAAGACAGTGATTAATTTGAATGCTATCGAAATATATCCTCAATATGTCTAGTAGCGTACGTTCAACGCCCAAATATATGAGGATAAAGGATGTTGAGATACAAGTTATTTCTGATTGTAACTACATTCGAAATTAAATTTAAACTACTGATAATGTGATTACTGGAGCTTATTGTTTTTAAAAAGGTAATCATTGCAAAAGTTATTGGCTTTATATTTGTTTTAAAAACAACAATAACCGATTACATCATTTTTCATTGTAACGGTTGACAGGTTTGAGGAGTGCAAATTGTTCATTACTGCAGGGTTGGATGGGTGTGAATAATAAATTTAAATCACAGTTATTTGATTATTCTAGGGAAAGAATGGGCTGAATGTCGCCTTCCGAAAATCATACACCATTGCAAATTGTTGTGATAACAGTCATCCGATCGATTTGCATACAAAATATAGGAAGAAACGCGCAGATACCGACTAGAGATTATAGTGTTAGCTTTTTGAATCTTCCCACCAATGTTTACGACTGCACTTGATCAGCATCTTTTTTGGTTGTGGAAGAGAAATCAATCAACCCGAATAGAACTGTTACATAAGCATAAAAGGTATGCATTTTAACCAATTGTAACAGTAAAATTTATATTACACCAAATATTAACTAAGTTACACTGGATACATTTACCTATCTGTGTTCATTACAGTGGATAAACGATGAGCAATAATAATAACAGTCGCGTCTTTAAACTGATCTCCTATTACGGTATTCATAACCAAATTATCTGTAGATGGATCCATTGCAGCCGTAGCTTCGTCAAGAATAAGTAAACGAACACGACCGCCGGAAGACAGGAATACTCGAGCTAGACAAACAAGTTGACGCTGACCAGCCTGTTGAAAAAATCACATTAGAACATTAGGTCAAACTATTAAAACTTTATTACACCAAAAAATGCGGGAACTTAATTTTAAAAACATTTTTAACATCAATGGAAACCAAATCTATGAAGAGATTGAGAGACGAAACGTATACTTATAAGTGTTCCTATAGTAGTGTATACATAATAGTTTTCACCGAGTTAGTGATCGTAACTATAGGGAATAAATAAAATGTTTTCCCTCTATAGACATAACCGTAGTAAATTTAGGTAATAGCTAAATATTTGAAGTGAAGCTTGAACTAGGATATGTAATTTATTCCTAATACAAAAAAAGTGGATACATTCATATAGCATACAATTCAGCTTAAAATAAACAATTTACCGTTGATTGTTTTTCTATTCATTTATGCATGAAACATCAATTCACTCAGGTGTACAAAATACACTAACCGATAAGTAGTTTAACAATAGTTGACACCTTGATGTGACAAACATTAGAAATTATAATAAGTATATCCTTTTCTTTAGTGGTTATCATTATCTTCATCAGATCATATTAATTCTCTACGTTCAGTTGTTTTTATATGAATTAAACATACTTGAAATATTGTAAAGCATAAAATTTTAAAAAATATAAATGGAAGGATTATGCTGACAATAATACAAGACGAAGACGAGTTAATTCACTGACGTTTATTTGAAAAATAAAAGCTTTGTTGTCTTTCTTTTCTTATTCTCATGCAGTTAGAATCGTTGACATGCTGTTGTACATCACATGTTCTATCGACATGCGAAACCTTAAGTATAGTATCATATCAGATGTATGTGTATTTATACATGTGTGCCCAAGTGATTGTTTGATCACATTAAATGTATTCACATATCACCTAGATTAGAATTCATGCAAATTAACTACTACTACTGCTACAAAGAAGGTGATTGTTCATTTTTCTATAATTAATAATAATAAAGAATATATACAGAACAGTTAATTAGTAGGAGAGAAAATTCTAATCAATTAAATTTAACGAACGATTTATTTTTACTACTTTCAGCATAATTCAGTAATATAAATTTACGAGTTACACCAGTAATTTCTTAAAGATGAATGTAATACTAACCAACTTTAAAACTATCTAACAAAAATAAAACATCATTTTAACTAGTTTTTTTCTTTTGCTTTTAAGTAAATGAGAAAATACGGAAAGTATGGAATTAAGATAATGGATGAAACCTACTGAATATCCTATTGAAAATGATAATGATAAAATAAAGTAAACAATTGTTGTGCCTTTAACTTGGATCGATTTCTACCCTGTGCCAATTGTTGCGTCCTTGACTGAAAGATTAGAGAGCAGTGTATTATCGATCGGATCAATGACGCGTATAACACGTAAGGACGACCTAGAGTTCTGACTAGTCCTGCTTCCCTGTCTAGCCCAGCCAGTTGAGTCCAGAACACAAGCAACAGCCTCTGAGATATGAATCATTGTATTTCAGACATTATTTATATACCAACCAAACAGACCACATCGTACCATAAAAATAGTAAACAACATTTGTACAATATTTAACGAAAATAAATAATGGCCAATAGGAAATGTCCATTTAACGTCCAAGGACATCATTATAATTAACATGATAATGATTGGCACATTATTGTGCATCCATAACAGCAATATAAAGATGATTAGTGGCTAGCAGTAGAATCTAGGATGCGCGTTTCGTCCTATTTGGGACTCGTCAGCTGGATGTACCTGCATCTCAGAGTTTATGTCCATTCTGGGACTCGGACCCAGTACCGTTAGCTTTAAACGCCATCGCGTTATTCACCTAGCTACTGAATCCTGATAGCTACTTGCTTGTGCAACGGGGTGAAGTTTAAATTCACTTGGTACTGTTCACTTGAATCTTCCCACTGATTTGATGATGACTATCTAATATACGAATATTTGATTAATAGTGGTATCGTTTTTGTTATATACATATATTTCGAAATTAGTGTAGAATTATAGAGAAAAATTATTCATATGAAACATTCATTCACTCTAATAGTCTTATTTCGTCCCAGTTTGACAATTCCCAGAATCCGAAATGCGTAACTCAAATATGGATTCGATCCAAAGACCTATAAGTTCATGAGACTGTATTTACAATTCATTGATGACTAAGTAGTGATCAATGTCATGTAAATCAAGTCCTTCTTAGTGTTGATCAAATTCTATCAATCAAATTGAAATGTGGAAACTAGTCTAGATGACTAGAAATTCCGTGGGCTATATCGAGATTTAATGTGGTGGTTGGAAGTTGTTGACGGGGAACTCTATCTACCACCGTATCAGCGGGTGCTTCGAGATAAGTGACGATTAGACATGCGATATGCATGTCCCAACCACCTTAATCAACATAGGTTTACACCATTATTAACCGAATTCCCATTTTAAACTGGGCGTTAATGCAAATCAATCTTGAAGTAAAACTTTGAATCTAGTGGTCGGAAAAACGCATTTCAATTGTTTTACTGTTACTTAAAGCATTTAGAAGACTGTATTTTGTTAATGTCTCTATCAAATAAAACTGCGTCATCTTCACACTATAAGACAACATATTATTCTTTTATTAAACCATCCTATATAAAACAAACGAAACGTTTGCTATCTCTGAAACCACAGCTAAAACAGAACTAAGTAAAATCATGAAACTGGGTAGGCCTGAGGCACATCGAACATAACGCAGATAAACACGTGCTTGCATTAGAGCACAATCGAAGTCCAGAACGAGCAACCATCCTACTGACTCTGGAAATTCTATATTGTACCAAAAATATAATATTGAATAAAGCCATTAATAATGATAATGAATATGACTGACAGAGACGTAGTTTCTGTGCATGCCCTTGTCTGTGGTTACCAGGTGAAACAATACTTTAAGTTATGCCTAAAATCGGTTTTTATTTTGTGAGTGGTTTATTATATGTTTAGACTACACAGTCGGGAGATCCCACCCAAATATCAGTCGATTTTTGATATGGTAAAACTATCATTCAATATCATGAATGATACTTATCTCACCACTTAGTACATCATAACTTTATCGATTCTGAGTTCATAGTTCCATGTGGGGCATTGTTAAATGACTGCAAACTAGAATGAGACAAATGTTTATCACTTCCTATTTCTTAATTTTATTTTAACTTATATATTAGTTTACGGTGAAAAACCAACTTGTTGAAATTAAACAATATTCATATACTAAATACATATTAATCAGGAGTTAAATATTTAAAAGAATGTAAATATCATTTACATACAGATAGATTTGCTCCACCTTCGCCACATTCATAATCTAAACCGGCATTAGTCGACCGAACCCAATCAGTTAAATGAGCAGATTCTATTGCACGCCATAAATCGATATCAGGCAGTTTACCAAATGGATCTAAGTTAAATCGAAGTGTACCAGCAAAAATTATCGGTTCCTAAAAAATAAAATATTGAACGAAACATATCTTTGGTACTTTTGTACAACATCCGGTTATTATCATATTACTGAATCAGTACAGAGGAATATAATGCGGTTAATAAAGGATAACTAACTTCGTCCTATATGATTGACAATACTTACTGGAAAGTATCAGTTGGATTTAGAATGTAACCATTACACCAGAAAATAAATAGAAATTACCGACCCTTTGAAATGTATCAAGTGTACAATCGAATATTTAATGTCACGCTGACCATTACATTTGATAGTGTAGCTTAAAAATCAAGTGAAGATAAACTTAAGAGATATAGAATAGAAGACAGAATAAACACTCAAACAGAAATAAGTAGCACCGAGTACACAAATTTTAATTCTTACCTGTGGAAGAATACTAAATCGGGATCGAAGTTCATGAAGGCCAATTCGTGACAAATCAACTCCATCAACAAGAATTGGACCACGTTTAGTTGATGTTCTATGTATATCTAATCTATCTTCTTCTAATATCGTAGGCTCGATTAAACGAAAGATACTAGATGCTAAAGATGATTTGCCTGCTCCAGTACGACCAACAATTCCTATACGGCGTTCTTGTGGATTACCACTTAATTTAAGATCAATAGATTTCAATGCTGTAACTAATCGTCCAGAATTCGATGTCTTTTGACTAAGTGATAAGTCATGATTATCAGTTACTTTGTTCTTTGTAGGCAAATGATATTGGACAGTAGCTTTGTTAAATGTGATTTCACAACAAGGTCTCGGCCAATCAATTGGAGGAGGACTATCCACTCCATGATCCCAGTCAGCTTCCTGTTCAACCTGGAAAAAATAATCAAATGGGGAGTATTATGTTCAAAGGTAGATGAAATGGAAACAAATAGTATACCATTAAAATCAGATTGTATAAACGTTTAATAATTTGATGTGTATTATTCTGTAGAACTTTATCAATAAAGACAGATTCCTTTACAGATTTCCTTCTAGTTAATTAATATCAAGTTATCTAATAAGAAATGCAAATTTATATTATGAAAATATCTACAACTTCTTATTCATGGCTTCGCTTCATTCTCGTGCAACTTTTCATAAACAAGTTGACTAACTGTTAGTTCAACATTATATTCATGTTAGAACGTAGAACATTTAATATAAGGATTTGGTGTTCATTTTAAAAATATTAAAGATTCCCATTGTGAAAATTAGAACAACACATGTAAGCGAACAATTGTTTTCAATTAGATCGTCATCAGGCTTTACTCTAATATTTTCACAGATTGAAATCATGAGTCAGTTGAAGCTAGACCACCATTGAAAACCTGGAAGCACTGGACGGCCGTTTCGTCCTAGTATGGGACTCCTCATCAGTGCGCATCCACGAGTCCCAGGAGTCCCATACTAGGACGAAACGGCCGTCCAGTGCTTCCAGGTTTTCAATGGTGGTCTAGCTTCAACTAACTCATGATTTCAATCCGTGAAAATTTCTAAAAATCTCCACAAACCCCTTCTGATAACAAGTATTTATTTTAAATTTTATTATTAACATTATTTATTTTATTCTATTTGTGTTATCGTTAACCTTATTTTCACATCTAGTATTTGTTTGTAATTTTCCACCACTTTCCGTTTGTATTCTTCACTATCAAATCATGTACACACTTCTGATTACGCAATTATTTTAATGTTTTGTGATTAATATTCCTAGTCTATTTACCCATGTTTGACCTTCTATTTCCAACGTTTAACTATTGATAAGACTTTTGTTATCGTATTTTACTATTGTTACTGCTATCAGTACACATGTCTTCCTACTATAAACTTGTACTTTTACCTATTATATGTGGTGACCTATTCTATTTCATTGTGATTATTGACCCATATTGCCTTGATTGGTTTAACATTTTCGTATACATATTCATGTATATTAGAGTAAAGCCTGATGACGATCTAATTGAAAACAATTGTTCGCTTACATGTGTTGTTCTCATTTTAAAAATTACAATTTCGTCTTACCATTCCATGTAATATGAGCATGCAAGTATAAGTGGTAGATATTAGTACATAGAAAATAATTTCATTTCAGTAAATTTAGTTATATTTATATTAGGCAAGGCAATTTAGTCTGTTAATGTTATAAACTGTATACATGCATTAATTCCAAGTATGATTCCAAGTAGTTTCAAGTAATCACCTGATGACCAGAAAAGTAAATCACATGTATATCAATGTATTTAGACAGTTTTTGATTTATTTGTGGTGTATAAATAAAAATCTTCATCGTCAGTCTTACTTACTTTACTATATCAAATCGTTTTAGTTTTTGCTTAGTAATAATAGGAAGCCATTTTACCTCAGTTATAACAAGTAGTCATACCAATGTTTTGTTTCAGTTACAATAGTATACAATATATTTGAAAAGGTTGCATTATAGGAAGGCTAAAATAAATTCGACTCTATATCTCTAAATTTGTGAAACAAATAACTAGTAAAAAGAATGGACAGCGACCATGAAAAGATGAAAGATCTAAGCATAAGTAGTGATGGCATGTTTTTTTCCGCTAGTAGTCACCAAATCAAAATGTTCGAAAGAATACTATTTCACATATTAGTGATTCATAAAAAACGATAAAAATATTAGGAGTTAACGTTAACCACATATCTCTTTCGTGTTATTTTCCGAAACAGATATTTTCTTAAAATATAATATGTTATCTTCTACAGGGGAGATTTGTGGTGTCTGGTAATATGTCAAGCGCGTATGGGTTGTTCTAGCTTCCAAATAGGCCGATTTACTTATTTGTCTTCAATCACATTTTGACCTTATCAATTATTTGCTCATTAACCAAACTTGACTGCTTTTATATGAGCGTATTTGTGTGCATCGCTAAACGTATTCATCACATATCTCCAGCTTATTTTGTTTAGCTAAAATATTGAGTGACGCCTTAACAAATAGGGTTATCATATTTGTCTTCTACGGTCTGTTTCACCGCTCTAGTTCTCTTGTTGCCAGTCTGGGGTAAAAAGTATATGAATTCAGTGTATGAAGGTAGGCAGCATATATAGGTCGTTAACATTATCACTCAATCGAATCGGAATCAGCTGTACACTTCCTCCTTGATTAAAACTAACAATATCAGGTGGAAATTACAAACTATACGATATTTAACAAGGTTGAGTGAATGTTCACTTATCACTGAAATCATGAACAGATAAGTTAGACCACCATTACAAACATGGAAGCACTGGATGACGTTTCGTCATAGTGTAGGACTTCTCAGAAGAGCCAATCCACGATCCCGCACACGAAAACCGAACCCAGGACCTTCGGTCTCACGCACGAACGTTTAACTGCTAGACCACTGAGTCGGCACCCAACGATGTCTAACCTTAACCAATCGGTTCATGATTTTAATGAAATTCAACAATCTCTACAACCCCAAACTTTCACATTTATAAAAACAAATATAACTCTCAGTGAAAAAGTAAGTTTTGAAATAACTATTATTGTTAATTATTAAATAATTAAAAAAGAGAAAATTCCATTCACACAAAAGAAAAAAATGTAACTACTTACTCGGATATTAAAAAGAATAATATATTTGTAAAATCTCAGCGAATGAATTTTAAGTAAATCCAACGTTTCGCCTGGCAATCTGGTTCAAGCTTTTTCAAGGAAAATATAATCAAACAACAAAATTATCGAATATAAATAGGTACATGGTTCTTCGGTTTACTGTACACTGAATAAGTCATCCAGTCGACGTGAAGGATTTCTTTATAGATAGGTATTTGTATTAATGTGTAAGAGACATGTTTATATGAAACGTTGGATTTACTTAAAATTCATTCGCTGAGATTTTACAAATATATTATTCTTTTTAATGTCTCAAATTAACTCGGCGCCCAAATATTGTGAAACTATTCGTTCAAATTTAGACGAAAGTTCTTATTTACTTACTCGGATGTATTCACATATTCTTTCCAATGAAACAGAACTTGTTTCCAATTGAGATAACTGTTTAATAACCCATGTTAACGAATCAAATACTTGCAGAGCATAAACTATGATTAAGCCAGCGATACCAGGAGATATTTTTGATCGAAAAGCAACCACAATTACAGCACATACAAATACCATAAGGCTGCAAGATAACTGGAATTTTAAAAAAATATTCACAAAAATACAAATATTTTGATATAAATAACAACTTAAGCCCAAAATAAAACCGAGTTATAAGAGAAATGAAAATAAGATATCTGGGTGGAATGCGTTAATGATTTACAAAAAAGGCTGGGTTATATATAAGTTATGATAATTTAAGTTACTAATGAATAAATAAAACTCAATGATATTAGTTAACATATTATGAAGTTATGAAACAGATTTGTGGTTTTAACTGAAACAAACGACCATTTGATCTTTTCTGATATGTAATATTAATCTGTGTCCATATCACTATCATATTAAATGACTTCAATGGTATAAATGTCATTTGTGAAGTGTCAATAGATGAGGTTATTAGTCTATGTATGCGACACTGACATTAGTCTACAGCTGAAAATTTAGTAAACAGAACTTCATGGAAAACATTTATTGCACGGCCATTTTTGTATTTTTTTTTCGAGTGAAATTTTTTTTCGTCCCTTTGAAAAAATTTTTCAGCCCCATCTTCCAATAATTTTCATTCTGTTTCGTCCAATCAAATAACTAGTTTTGAGTTCGTTATAATTGGTCGTTTATTTCTTCAAATCGATATAAAGTATCAGGACATGACGACAGAGCACACTTTCTTACAATTATTATGGACGGTAGTAACATGCAGAGCATGAGCTCTGTCGTTCTTCACGTTGTCACAGAAACCGATAATCTATTCTTGAGCACATTGTATCTCGTAGTGTTCCAATCTCTTTAAGCGTTGAAGAGCGCCATTAGAACGTATGAAAGAGCCACGTACAGCCATTATGTGGTGAGGGATTCTCATTTACATAAAGATCAGAAGTCGTATATTAGATTCGTATGTTGGAGAAATGGTCGTAGAACATCTAGCGGTTCCTAACAGCCGAGCAGACGAACGAGGTAATTTAATTAGTGTTATTATCATTTTTCATTAAGGACTACCGTGAACACTCAATGTCCTTCCTTCGTATTTTGTAAGTAACCGACTATCAAAATAACGTCAATATGGGTGCACCGTTAAGCAATGACGAGGAAGAAATTGTTTCGATTAACTCAGAGGAGTTCACTGAACGAGACGACGATAATGACGAAGACGCGTATGACAACAGACTTTATGATATTTGCAATCTTGCGCAACCGCCACATGAAACTGCTGATGGAAGTACCTGAGTTTTTGTCCATGCGAAGCAATGCTTCATTTATTTTGTGCCTGCGACCCATCGACACACGTCCATGGAATCCACTGTCCCATGTACGGAGCTATAATGGAATAATAGCAACGCCTTTGTTCATGAAACTCGGAACTGTTAAGAGAACGAGTAAAGGCCCTTTTCAGGGCCACCCACAATTTGATTTAAATTCTTTTGTTCCAATTCCTTATTTCCATAGCAAAGGTCAAGTGATCAAACCATCAAAATCCATTTAAGATTAATAGTCATTACGTGATTAGCACCTACGTATTCGTAAAGGCTTTTTAAGCATTGTCAAATATACGGTTTAAGTAAACGATTTCGTATAGGAAATGTCATCTAATGAACACTAATCTGTCTAACAATAGTACATGCAAAACTTATTCAGAATGTTTCAATGTTTTGTCATATAGTTACGATAGGCGAATGTAGTACTACCAGTTCACTAGTACAACGACATCATTTTTATAGGAAAGGTCAACTGAACCAACATCGATGAATTTTAATTAAGCCTTAGTGATTAAGCAATATAATCAATTGAGATTTATAAAAATTTCGTGGATTAGATCATTAGAAGAGAATTTTGGAAAAACTTATAACTGGTTTTAATAGTTGGTGATAGTAATAACTGACGTTGAAAGGTGGTCAAATGTTTGATACACAATTAGTAAAGAAATTATTCATCGAAGTATTTCCATTAGTTTTTTCTTAACACATCGTATGTTATTTTAATAAACGTTATATGCGTAGCAACATATCCATAAATCATCATGATAAAGTAATGAATAGGGCATGCATAAATCACGCTAACCGTTAACGATCGGTAAATGAAGCGAAATAGCAATAACTTCTCTCAGAAAATAGCAAATAATATTTATGATTGGGCACTTTTCCAAACAGCAATTCTTAGTACAAAAGAGTTGTTTAGTTTTATCTGAGTAATGGTGTCATAAATAAATGCAAGATTGTCAATTGAGTTATTTTGCTAATCCATTAAAAGCGTTACTTGTTTTTACCTGTACATTCTTTGCAGTTGAGCAGTTTAAAATCACGACGAAAAGTACTTGTCTATGTAAGTAGTCATGTGAATCGATTATTGTGCTCGTCAATTGGGCTTAACAAATTTTGCACGTAATGTCAACAGCATATTTGCAGTTTAAAAAAATCTCCATAGAATATTCTATGTTGTTGAATAACAACATAACAACAACATTGTTAAGCCCAATTGACGAGCACAATAATCGATTCACATGACTACTTACATAGACAAGTACTTTTCGTCGTGATTTTAAACTGCTCAACTGCAAAGAATGTACAGTTAAAAACAAGTAACGCTTTTAATGGATTAGCAAAATAACTCAATTGACAATCTTGCATTTATTTATGACACCATTACTCAGATAAAACTAAACAACTCTTTTGTACTAAGAATTGCTGTTTGGAAAAGTGCCCAATCATAAATATTATTTGCTATTTTCTGAGAGAAGTTATTGCTATTTCGCTTCATTTACCGATCGTTAACGGTTAGCGTGATTTATGCATGCCCTATTCATTACTTTATCATGATGATTTATGGATATGTTGCTACGCATATAACGTTTATTAAAATAACATACGATGTGTTAAGAAAAAACTAATGGAAATACTTCGATGAATAATTTCTTTACTAATTGTGTATCAAACATTTGACCACCTTTCAACGTCAGTTATTACTATCACCAACTATTAAAACCAGTTATAAGTTTTTCCAAAATTCTCTTCTAATGATCTAATCCACGAAATTTTTATAAATCTCAATTGATTATATTGCTTAATCACTAAGGCTTAATTAAAATTCATCGATGTTGGTTCAGTTGACCTTTCCTATAAAAATGATGTCGTTGTACTAGTGAACTGGTAGTACTACATTCGCCTATCGTAACTATATGACAAAACATTGAAACATTCTGAATAAGTTTTGCATGTACTATTGTTAGACAGATTAGTGTTCATTAGATGACATTTCCTATACGAAATCGTTTACTTAAACCGTATATTTGACAATGCTTAAAAAGCCTTTACGAATACGTAGGTGCTAATCACGTAATGACTATTAATCTTAAATGGATTTTGATGGTTTGATCACTTGACCTTTGCTATGGAAATAAGGAATTGGAACAAAAGAATTTAAATCAAATTGTGGGTGGCCCTGAAAAGGGCCTTTACTCGTTCTCTTAACAGTTCCGAGTTTCATGAACAAAGGCGTTGCTATTATTCCATTATAGCTCCGTACATGGGACAGTGGATTCCATGGACGTGTGTCGATGGGTCGCAGGCACAAAATAAATGAAGCATTGCTTCGCATGGACAAAAACTCAGGTACTTCCATCAGCAGTTTCATGTGGCGGTTGCGCAAGATTGCAAATATCATAAAGTCTGTTGTCATACGCGTCTTCGTCATTATCGTCGTCTCGTTCAGTGAACTCCTCTGAGTTAATCGAAACAATTTCTTCCTCGTCATTGCTTAACGGTGCACCCATATTGACGTTATTTTGATAGTCGGTTACTTACAAAATACGAAGGAAGGACATTGAGTGTTCACGGTAGTCCTTAATGAAAAATGATAATAACACTAATTAAATTACCTCGTTCGTCTGCTCGGCTGTTAGGAACCGCTAGATGTTCTACGACCATTTCTCCAACATACGAATCTAATATACGACTTCTGATCTTTATGTAAATGAGAATCCCTCACCACATAATGGCTGTACGTGGCTCTTTCATACGTTCTAATGGCGCTCTTCAACGCTTAAAGAGATTGGAACACTACGAGATACAATGTGCTCAAGAATAGATTATCGGTTTCTGTGACAACGTGAAGAACGACAGAGCTCATGCTCTGCATGTTACTACCGTCCATAATAATTGTAAGAAAGTGTGCTCTGTCGTCATGTCCTGATACTTTATATCGATTTGAAGAAATAAACGACCAATTATAACGAACTCAAAACTAGTTATTTGATTGGACGAAACAGAATGAAAATTATTGGAAGATGGGGCTGAAAAATTTTTTCAAAGGGACGAAAAAAAATTTCACTCGAAAAAAAAATACAAAAATGGCCGTGCAATAAATGTTTTCCGAACTTCATTGTTTTAATTCATTATTGTATTGGTTGTATGAGTCTTTCCATTGATATTGAGAACTGCAATTGATCAGTGTCATATTGGCATATAAGTGAACATCAACTCTAGGATCCAGGTACATCCAGCTGACGAGCCTAATTAGGACGAGACGCGCGTCCTGGATTCTACTGCCACCCACTTCTGCTTAGAGCTTCATTGTTATTTTTTTACTTAGTAAACGCAGGCTTTGATTAAAATCACATTGAGTGTAGTAAATACTGTTATTATTATCACTAATAATAATAATAAGTATTATTGATAGCTTGTATGTGACGCAAATCCCAAAAATTCCGACAGTCACATATCAAACAAGAAAATATTTCCCACATACAAAAACATTATCGATTTATTTCCTTATGCAAAGGACACTAGCTAATTACTGATTTATAACGATGCAGTGAAATCGAGTAGCGGTAGTTCCTGTGTGAAATGTACATGACATAAGCATGTGCTCTTAAGAAACGATTCTCACTAACGAGGGTAGATTGACATTGCAAATTATAAGGTAGTAATAATTACTGTTACTGGCTGACTCTAGCTGGCAAACCATTAGAAAACAGGAAACATTAGAAAGATCCTCATTTGTGGCCAGTGGCTACCTGGACACAGCAGACAAGTTGATGACACATTGGCATTTAAAGATACCGGAATCGATCCCGGAGTGAACATCAACTGTATAATGCAGGTAAGATCGGATGCCGAGTCCAAAATACGACGAAACGGGCATCCTAAATCCCATTGTTAGCCGCCCTCAATCTCTGTTCAAAATGCTTGTGATCTAATGGAAATAACGAGGCAACCCGCACATGCCAAAATAGAATAATCAATTCCAGTCCCAAACATCAGTGGGAAGGAAATTAGATTTTCTACTCACTGGGATATTACAAATATATTATTTTTATTTATAACAATCAACCCAACGCTCAATTTATTCGAAATTATCAAATCAAACCTTGATAATGATACCTATCAGTGGGAAGATTCAAACAACCAATATATATATATATATATATATATATATATATATATATATATATATATATATATATATCGTAGTTTACAAATCTCCACTTTTAAAAATAAACGACCCTATTAAAAATGCGCCCACAAACTTTAGACCTCAAGACAAGAATTACGTTTAAACCATTGATATAATAAACCACATTTTCAACATGAGTCGGTCTGCAAAGTAGAGCGACAACCACTCAATTTCGTCGATGAAACCTGATACACTCACAGCATAGTTTGCATTGACCTATCATACAAGGCGTCTGTGACAAGTATCCTAAAGTTATCAATCTGTACATTTTACAAATCGTTAATAGAAAAAAACATGTTTAGATTCTGGACACAAACTAAGCTTAAAGTACAGATATTAGAATATATGCGACAATGATGACAAAAAAGGAAAAGAAACTAACATTTAGATGAATATCTAGCCACCGGTTAGCAACAAAGCGTGCATATTCGAAAACCGCGTTAGCATCAATCAATTTATCAGATTTAGCAATAAATTCTTTATCACGTTTAAATGCTCGAACAACAGTGACACCTAAAGACGAAGCTGACGTTTCACTATAATTGGTTAACAATGGTGAACGAGTATTTGCATCCAATCGACGTGTTTGTCTAACAGAAGGCATATAAAATATTAAAACAGTTATGCAAAATATAAATACAGGAATAATCACTGCCAATCCTATTCCAAATGGACGTAGAGTAACAGAAACAATCACTAGTGAAATAACAACATCTCCAGTAGTCTCGATGGTATCACTAAATGAGTTCGGTATGGTATGATCTAAATTGTCAACATCATTACTGAATCGATTCAATATACGACCTAAAGGTGTGTGATCAAAGAAACTAGCTGGAGCGTGAAGAATTTTCGATAAAAGCTGTTGATGTAATAGCTACAAAACAGATGAAAAAGAAAGTTATTTATCAACATTTAAATCTTAAGCATCAAGTCAAAATTATGACGAGAAAAAGAATGTATTCAAAAAATGAATTGTATGTAATGTCAACGTAGATATTTCCTTAGTTTCATATTCATTTAAGACAACAAAAATTTTAGTGAGCTTTTATGTAAGTACTACTTGATAGATCATGTTTCGTCGTTATGAAAAATAATCTGATTTCGTTCAAGATACGTTCAATGAAATGTATCAAACTGATAGCTAGTTATGTACATAGGACAGAAATTAAAGTTAAACGTATGGTTACACATTCATCTGCAGATTCTAGATTATGTATTTTTTTGGATTTTAAGGTAGGAATCTCCATCTATCAAATTTGTATTTCCGTTGAATTTGAAAGCAATACCTTTCCTTCATTTCTAGTCGCGATGCCTGGTTTGGTAGCGCTATTAATTAACGATCGGAATTAAACGTAAAACGTTTCAAGAGCATTGTAATCACTATACCACTTCTTAATCATTGAATCAAAACCTATTAAGCCTAAACTTTTAAAAATTACCTCAATCATAATGTGAAATGAGCATTCACTAAATAAATTTGTGATAAAATGTCATGACAACAGCGCGAAAGAGAGATCAGTAAACCGATGATAATTATATATATATATATATATATATATAGGGAAAGAGGAAACTTACATTTGAAGCTCTCAGATTAGAATACGCATTAAGTAGCGCAAATATTAAAATTAACACCGTCTGACCTAAACCAGCCCATGCGTAACCTATAATATAATATAATATTCTATCTTTAATCTGTTCTATTAATATCTGACGAGCAGTTTCATTACTAATTATAGTAGTATTTTGAAAGGCTTGTTCAGCTTCAATCAATTGTTGGTCATCTGCAAACCATTGTAACCAATAACTACAAAATGCCTGCCGAAAATAAAAACCGCGAAAAGAAGAATTAACAATGAGAAACTGAGTATATATATATATATATATATATATATATATATATATATATATATATATATATATATATATATGGTATAGTTTCTGTAATTTATTTACTGTGTATTCAATGGATTGCAGTTATTAGTGAAGTACAATTGAAATAATCAGTTCTATTAATAAGTTATATTAACTCTAATCGATTTTTCAAGGAAATCTAATTAAAAATCAATCGTATGACAAGTACGATAGTCACTGGCTCTGATGGATTATAATTATTCAGCTAATCAGTAACATGTAATACAGAACCGATGACATGTGTACATTCTATTCAAGTTGCCATAACCTTTTAAAGCACAAAGAAACGAAATTTTCAGAGCGAGAAATTCCAATGTGATAGAGCTAGTAACAGTATTAGTGGTAACAGGAAAGGATGCAATTCAAAACAATATGGATTGGTGGAATAAAAACTGATAAGGTAATTTAGAAAATTAGGACTTAAGGGAAGAAAAAAAGATAATACGCCTGTACCATTGCAAACGATTCGCAGCCATGTTATCCAAAGTCACTAACTTTGGTTACGATAAGTACACAGGCCCCAACCGGATTGTCAGAGTCCATCAATATGGGTCAGTAACGGTAAGTGCGTTTATGGACTGATGCTATTGCCTTAGTTTGGTCGGGATATTTATTTTTTAGAACTTGTTCAAGAAAACAGATATAAATTCCGTAGTGTTTAGAATCCATCCTTTGATTAATTTTTATATGGAGATCATTCACCAAAATATATTAAATTCAGGCAGTTTTAGAAAGCCCTTGCCTTTTTGTGACAATAAAAGTTTCGTCATTACTTCGTTCTTCTATAGTAACAAAAATATGGCAGTTAGGAACCCGACTATTAGCGAAACTATCTCAGAGAAAGATGGACATATTATACATTCTCAATACAGGAGATTGGATCTATAGGTAGAACACTTTAGGGATCAGTTCAACTGACCTTCAACCACACTTCCGTTTCCCACGATCTCCAGTCAACTTGAATGGCAAGTTAATGTAGGTCCTCCGAATCTTTACGAAGTTGAAAAAGTCATAGGAAATCCGAAGCGAGGGAGAGCAGCAGGCCCCGACAGGATTACTCTTGAGATTTTTAAGGAGGGTGGTCCAGTATTAACAGTGAGATTAACCGAGGTCTTAGGTAGAATTTGGGAACTGGATGTAATCCCATCTGACTGGTCTCAATCACTGATTGTGCCAGTCTATAAGAAAGGACAAAAGTCCTCTTGTGACAATCACAGAGGAATCAGTTTGACTAATATAGTGTCTAGAATATTAGCTTCAATAATACTTCGACGTCTAACCAAAGCTCGTGAAGAACAGACTAGAGAAAATCAGGCTGGTTTTCGACCTGGACGTGGTTGTATAGATCAGATATTCACACTACGTCAGGCTCTAGAACACAGACACACATTCAGACGCCTCACAATGGTAGTATTTCTCGACCTTAAGGCGGCATTTGACTCTGTTGATCGTAAGGTTCTATGGCAGTGTTTGTCAGTGAAAGGAGTACCAAAGAAGTACATTAACCTTGTAAAGGCTCTCTACTCGAACACAACTGGTAGAGTGAGAGCTTATGGCGAACTGTGATCAGAATTGATTACCTCAAGTGGTGTTCGTCAGGGCTGCCCACTCTCTCCATTATTTTTTAACTTTGTCGTTGACGTGCTTTTAGAGATTACACTTTCCTCATTTAAATTTCCAGGGGTTGAACCTCTACCGGGAGATTAACTTTTTGACCTAGAATATGCCGATGACATAGTTTTATTTGGCGAAGACGCTGACAAAATGCAGAGTCTTCTGACCACTCTAAGCAACGACGCAAGCATGTTCGGGATGCGATTCTCTCCCTCGAAATGCAAAATGTTGCTTCAGGATTGGGTTGCATTGACACCCGAACTAATGATAGGGAGTGAAGTAGTTGAGCGTGTCGACCACTTCACTTATCTGGGAAGTCTCATCAGCCCTTGTGGTCTGGTGTGTGACGAAATCTCAGCACGGATACAGAAGGCTCGACTAGCTTTTACCAACTTGCGTCATTTATGGTGTAGGTGAGATATCCGTCTATCAACCAAAGGACGTGTTTACTGCGCAGCAGTTCGTCCCGTCCTACTTTATGGCAGTGAAACATGGCCATTAAGAGTAGAGGATATCCATGGGTTACTAGTATTTGATCATAGGTGTCTTCGAAACATTGCTCGTACATCCTGGGACCATCGAGTAAGTAACGCAGTTGTTAGGAAACGGGTACTAGGTAAGGATGGCAAATCCATTGATGAAGTGGTGAAACTTCGTCAGTTGGGATGGCTGGGACACGTGTTACGTATGCCCAACCACCGACTGCCTCGACGTGCTATGTTCAGTGGTATAGGAATAGGTTGGAGGAAAGCTAGGGGCGGCCAGACCAAAACATGGCACAAGTCCATGAAGTCACTGACAAGTGAACCGAGTCATGTTGGTAGGTGTAGAATACCTAGTTGGGGACCGCGAGATGATAGCAACCGATGGTTAGAGACCCTGAATGACATGGCTCAAAATCGTTTGCAATGGCGCAGGTGCATACACTCTTTGTGTTCTCCCGAATTTTCATCTCCTTATTCCTCCTTGTCTCTTTTTTTCTCTTCCCAAATTTATTTCACTGTATTATACTCTTTAAGTAACATCTCCAAACACTAATCTTCCCGATTAGTGCTTATACTCTTATTACCTCTACCACTACGGGATTTGAATCGACTACTGCATCTCTTTGCTAATGTGGTGTGGCAACTCGAACTGATGTACGTACGTACGAATTTCTACGTTGTTACTGACTGACTGACTGACTAATCAACAGTGTGTAACGTATATGGAAGTCGAACTCAGAACCCCACAGTGACGGCTTAACATCTAAATCCTGAGGTTGGTATTCGATGGTTTATATTTCTTAAAAATAGTCAATTCGTGATTTGGAGAGACCATTATCCGTTTCGACTGATGATAGTTACCTCACCCCAGACATCGTTGGACTCCAATGGTTACGGTTTTTCACCAAACCTCCTGGAGTTTCTACCGGATATTAGAAACTATTGAGGACATGATTATTAGTAGTGTAGAAGGACGACATAGTTATTCAATGTTTGCTAGCTTTGAATATTTGTGTAATTTATGATTTCATGATGTGAAATACAGAATGACCAACGGCTTATAACATAATGACTGTTCAGGGCAACAAAATTTGAAACTCACCTGTACACCTAAGAATCCCACATAAGACAGAACACTGATAAACGTTACAGATACACTCCGAGCACGGAAATACTCCCAGTAGGCTGACCACGATACATGACCGTGCATAATTTCTTCATCAGTCATGAATTTTCCATGTTCAAGATCATCATTTTCAAATTTATCATCATCTGATGTGCTAGCATTCAAATTTGTAATACTTATGCTAGTTGGAGAACGACGATGAGTCACCTCCTGCTCAGATCTAAAATCGATCAAATCATTTAGTGCTTCACCAGTAGGCATTATCTGAATGGTCCCGGGAGAGAAATTTGATACAAAAAAATGTAAAACAGAAAACCAAAGGAAGAATTACAATAACACAAAATGTTTAGGTCGATAATTATATTTCTGAAAAGCACAGTTATCCTATGTTTCCATTTCCTAGGTCAAACACTAATAAATTTATGTATTCAAAATCAAAACAACCTCGTTTAAGTGTGTGAACTCGGGCGACAGGCATGGAGTTGACGAACTGAAATAGATAGGGTGAATTCAAGCCTTATAGTGGTAGGCATTAAAGGCAAGTTGACAAAAGATGTAATGTGTTAGAACAACTGTAAAGGAATAAACAAGCATAAACAGTTAGGAAATTAGGGAACATCTTTAACTGAAAACATTAATTTTGATGTTTTACTCATGAAAATTTCATTGTCTCATTGTATAGGGACATTAGCGAGAAAATGAAGTTGATAAAAATTATTTGAATATTAATGATGATAGAGTTATCTAAGAAGACAAATAAATCTTTACAATTAAAGCATCCAACTGAAACGATACAACACCTCAATAATCATCAGTTGTAAATCATAATAAACAACACCAAAGAAACTATGGTCAACCTTGTATTTTCTACAGCTTTAATGATAATTTTAGGCATGACTCTAAAGAGCCGTTACTAAATGATTGAATGAGATGTCACTCGGTGGTGATGTGTTGTGAAAATTTTGACAGACGGGCAGATGACTCAGGTTCTATGTTGCTTATGACTGACTGAATTTACAGTTTAAATAATAGTTGCATACAAATATGATTAGTAGACTTCAACTGCGTTTACATGCGAAAATAAATGGGCAATCTTGAAAACGAAACTTACTTGCTCATTATTGTCATGCTTTGAAGTGGTATTGTAAGTAGTAACATCAGTGAAATTAATGGGTTTTAAAAAGGAAACAGATGATTCTAGGGATAATTTTTTTGTTGCATTCAATGGTGGACTTCGAGACAAAATTCCGATAGGATGAGATGAACTATGTGGCTAAATTAAACGAATCAATCAAGAAATAAATCATATGATTAATGTTATGGAATATTGTCCAATCAGTTTGTTAAGGAAATCATAAAATATATAATCAATTGGATATATTAGGATTAATTCTGAAGTAAGCTAGTAGAACAGTAATTAATTTATAAGATGAACTGAAATTTAATCGCAGTTTAATTATCTGAAGAAAGAAAAGTGTCTGAATACGAATAATGAATGTTATTCTATTCGTACAGATTGTAATTAAATTGATTGAATTCACGAGTCGATCTAAGCTAGACCACCATTGGAAATCTGGAAGCACTGGAGAGCCGTAACGTTTTAGTATGGGACTCCCTAGAAATGTACATCTACGATCCCGCATGTGGGACTCAAACTCAGAACCTTCAGTCTCGCGCGAGTACGCTTAACCTCTAGATCACTAATCAACTGAAACAGCTTTCTTTGCGAGTTTGTTAAGAATAACCAACAAAATACAATGAATTCATCGTATACAGCAAACATTTTCTTTTTTAATTTATTTAAATTAAGATGGATTGAACTGAAATGTAATTTAACAAAAAACAAAATAATATTTTACCACAAAAGTCGAGTGGATTAGTGATTACTTGTTTATAAAAACAATTACTTATTGAATAATAACGGAATAATTGGTAGAAATCAGTAAAATTATCAAAGTTCAATTCTGCGTACATTCATAAAAAACAGAGAGAATATGAAGAAAATATATATGAGTGTGAACTCCCACTGAAAAGCAATTCGAAACGAGGATAAAACATCTGTTTTTCAATTGATGTCAATATCCTGATGAAATACTAACTTGAAATGAAAATGGAGTTCGTCAATCTGAAATTTACTTACAGTTCAAGGTTTTATAACAACTAACAGGGTACCAGTGTGAATTATGGATGCAATAAACATTGTAGGTAACATCAATAAACAGAAAATAGTGCGATAAAAAAAGACTGAAAAATATAAGCAAACCCATTCATAATGAAATATTATCGAAAGAACTAACTAATGATAAGCATGAAAAGTTTCTTTTTATATTTTCGTGATTCATTATATATTTATTAGAACACATAAATATTGATAGAAAGGGACAATAAAAACATATGCGCCACACAATAACAATGAGAATGTAAAGTGAGTACAATAAAAAGGAGAGCAACAACGAACAGAAATTAGTGTATGTGAGTGAAGTAACAATAATAATGGGAGAAACAATTCAGTTAGCAAATGTACAACCAGAAAGAATTATTCCACTTAAAAAAGTTACGTCCACTTCCAATGAAGAAAGCAAAAGAAAAAATACACCAGGATCGCCACTGGCTTCCATTCTCATCCATATCTCATAACCTATCTAGCCACTGTGTTGTACAATTTATAGGACCCAAACAAGAAAGTCGTGAACGACCAACAAAAACACAGTTCCCTACAGCTTTCTTTCATAACACAACACCATGTCATATACTGAACACCACTTCTTCTAACCACTACCAGCGTATGTAATTAATACACGATGTGATATTCTCTAGGACGACATCCGTAGTACACGACCAAGCCACCGAAGTCCATATTTCAAGATGGTCACACCAACACAATTATCGTCTCTGTACACGAACATCCGCATTATTAACATGGCATTGCCACTAGATGTCAGCAATCCTTCGGAGATTACGATCATTAAACACAGAGAGTCATCTAACATCCTCAACTCGAAGAGGCCAGCTTCAACAACAATAAAGCAAAACTGCTCTCACGACGTGTTGTAGGTCAGATCTTTTACAGCCAGACTAACATCATCAAGGCACCAACGATGGCCAACATTGGCATAAACCGCTCTAGCTTTCACTACACATCAATTGATCTCATCACTCATACAACCGCCTGCACTTACGCACCTACCCAGATACACCATCTTCTCAACTACTTCCAGCTGCTCACTACTCAGAGTAAGTGCAGGATCAGGGTCCTGCCAGTCTTGTAAAAGTACTTTGCACTTCGAAGGTGCAAGGCAGATGTAATACCTACGGACACTGATTAAATGCGGATTTTATGAATTGAGTATCAAGGTCGAAAAGTCTTTTTCCGGTCAACGAATCCACACTACCATTACTTACATCCATCAGAGCTGTTTCCAGAATGTCATCGATGGTAAAGGTGAAGAGGAATGGTGAAATTGGTCAACCCTGTCTAACCCCACTGCTTGAATAGAACAATGGAGAGAAGTGGTTGTATCCCATCAATTTGCCTGAGGTGTTTGTATATAGGAATTATCCCCCGTTAGTTGTTATAGAAACGACATGAACTCTTTTTAAAGATAGGGACAACTATAGATTCATTCCATGATATTGGAGCATTCTCTCTAACTGCCAGACCTTTACAAACAACTCAGTCAGTTCCTTAACCAGAGGGTCACCACTTTCTTTAAAAAGGGCCAGAGGTAAGTCGTCTGAGCCTGGTGATTTATAGCGCTTCACGATTTGGAGTTCCTTGCGTACTTCGTTAGGAAGATCAGTCATCATAGGCCAAAGAGGGCAGGACAGTCTGATCGATGTTGTCGGGGCAGCAGGTCAGTTGAACTGCTCCTAGAAAAACTCTGCCCATCTTTAGAATATTATAGATAGTAAGACCAAATAAAATAAAAATGAACATGAATACGTCCAGAATATTATTATTAATCAACTTACAACAACCACACTACATGACCGACCAAAGCGAGTTGTAAATGAAGACTTTCTATGGTTACTTTCATTCACTTTAATAAAATACAAAAAAAAGAAATGAAAGTAATAGCATGGAATGTATAAAAGAAATAGGATTTTCAATGAGAAAAATTTGTAAGTAAATCTCACGAGAACTGAAATGGAATTTTGTCTGTAACCCAAATTATTGATTACTTAATGACATAACACACCAGTAATTTCTGGTATAATTAAGTAGAATAAATTATAACCGCATATCATTATAACATAATCAAAATAGCGTATAAACGGGAGGAAACGAAGACTAGTAGAACGAGTCATTTCTATCTATCCACCATCTTTGTTGAATTGCAAACTGATCAAAGTAGAATTTCCTGTGAGAAATTCCTATCAACTATCTCCCTATATAATATCACACTTTCCAGATAATGAATTTTACAGCATATAAAAAAAACAACTAAATTCATTTGTTATAATTTCACCTAAGATAACCAAATATGATCATTGAAGAAACACTTAAAAGAGAATATCATTCATTGAACATGTATTCTAAATAGAATGTTACTATCCAAGCAAAAAGTATCTGTGTCACCAATTAGAAAGTGATTTATTGATCGATCAAAATGTTTAAAATTACATATGAGTGCTAGATCAAAATAGAAAAAATTAGTAAACTTGTGCCCGATAAACATAAAATTTAGTTTTTTTCTCTCGGAAAAACGCTGTCTCTATGATTAATTGTTACTTTCAATGATCTCATAACGAATACAAATTACATACAGTAACTAACAAGAAGACATAGAATTCAACACCAATTGTATTGATAAAAAAAAGAGAAATTTATTGACAGACTATGAATTAATTAAATGGACTAGAAAACATGAAAGTAAATATGAATAAAATAGAGTTATACATTATTACTTACTTGTTTCATCATTTATCTTATCTTTCTTGATAGACTCTAGATAATTAGCAAAATGACCTGAGTTATTATTTACAACCTCCTATCAGAAAAATGGTAAGAAGAACACAGAGAATGTTCTAAAGTGATGTCCAGTGAAGCAAATATTATTTCAGAGTTAATGAGATTAAAATATATGATTCAATAAAAGATAATCGGTAATGTGAACATCTGGATTACGAATAAAGATAATGTGAGTATTGAAAATTAAAAAAGACGAATATTTAATTATGGTAAAGCATTTATTTACAGATAAATATCTTAACATGGATACAGAGAAGGCTTGATTTAAAATTTCTTTCCCTGTATGGATAACCGAAATCATAAAATAGTGTTATACTTCTTTTTGATATTCCAATGAGCAGAAATTAGCATTCATGTTTGGGACTAATTATGTTTCACATCTAATCACCTTGATCAAAATAACATAAAATTGACATAACCATACCTAGTTCGATTTTGACTTGAACTGATCTAAATATTCTGCCTTGTTCCTCATTACTCTTTAAACTAATGTCAACTTTAATTCAGTTACTTACTCGGTGAGACTATAATTTATAGACGAACCAATCAGATTTAAGATAACAAGTCTTGGATTTTGGCGCGAAACTCACCCATTCATTTGGCTAAATAGCATTTTGGTATGTTAGCTGGTGTCAGTTAGTGATAAATTTAACTCCTAACCCTAATTTACAGCTGTAAATCTTAATCCTTATTCCTTAAACTTATTTATTACCCAGTACGTACGTCGACATTATCAAGGTCAATGTAGCGTCACTCAAATGTCAACCATAAATTATAGTCTCACCATTTACTCTGAAAAAGCGACTGAAACTAAATCACGAAACATTAGAAATTCTCATTTTTACACATTGGAACAAAAATGAGAAAAACTATAAAACACTGAGTATACATTTGATGTAGTCCACTGTGTCCTAGCCCACCTTACGAATCAACAAACCATATTACAACAGAAATTCATGAAGATCAAAAGTATTAATAGAATATTATTATGAGATGGTGGAGAAGATTTGTAGCTCAGGTAGAAGTTTGTGCTGATGATGTCGTTCAGAAGAACGATGAAAGCTCCACGACCAAACCATCCAGCTCAGAGAACAAAACTCCACCAGAATATTATTATCAAAACTAATGCACCTGTTATCACACTATCAATGTGCACTTTTCACTTATTATGCAATCGTTTTTATTGTTATCATTGACTCATAAACTACCTTGATTGGTTTAATAATTTCGTATATGCATATAAATACCACTGTGTATTAGAGTAAAGCCTGATGAGGATCTAATCGAAAACAATATTGTTCGCTTATATATGTTGTTCTAAATAGAATAAGTGTCTAAAGAGGTTAAAAAAAAACTATATTAAGTGTAGTTTTAAATTATTTTCAGTTATGTATAAACAAACAAGATTTGCCTTTTTACCAAGAATTATTCAATTTCAGTGAATCAGTGATTACCAACTCAAAAACTCGAACGAATGCTCATGGACACGAATTGAAACATTTTTATCTCTTGCCATTCGAATATGAAACACACAAATCTGGGGAAGGGAATCTAAAACTATAGAGAAGCAGTATGCTATAGAAATAATGAAGCACTTAAAATGTTCTTGATGGGACAAAATTAGTAATGTAAGGCACTTCAAATAAACAGTTACATAAAACACGGACATACTGATCAAGTTATTGTTGATAATAACCGATTGAAATATCTGCATTCTAAGTAATTCAGAAGGGTAAAAATAACAAAATAAGATAATCCTTCGATAGAAAAACAATAAAGCCACTTAAGACAGCATCTTGATTACTGAATCACTTACAGGAAGCGCGAGAATTTGAGGTAAAACTAGGAAATCCGATATCACATCATTCAGAAAGATACTCAGACAAAGTAAGGACGATTCACCCAAAACTGATGCAGATAACAAATTGATCATTAAGTAGTAACTAGTGCTGCCTAATTAATGTTCAAGAAAGAATTGATGTTTTCAATGTGAACACTAAGATACGTTATTTGATGCTACATTACAAATATTACGACAAATTACATGAGAAAAACAATATTAATCAGTCTGTAACAATTTAAATTCACTCTTACATTATAAGTTCCAGATTGAGTGATTTCACCATTAGTGTTAAGAACAATAATCCAATCAGCAGAAGATAGCCAATGAAATGAATTAGTTGTCATGATTCTAGTTTTATCTTTTAGAAGACCATCTGGACCTATAACGTTATCGAATAAATGTTTCCCAACATGTGTATCGACTGCTGATAATGGGTCATCTAGCAGATATATATCTGAACGCTGTTATTAAAATAAGAACAGTAAAATAACCAAAAATATATCTCGATGTCAATAGATTTAAACAATCAAACAGAAAAATACTAATCTATAAAAAGGGTTCAAATACCGAATGGAATATTTTGAAGAACAATTAAACTCGTGCACTGGCCCAGCGATACTGTTTAAATGTAGCGATGCTCCACAGGAAACAGGCGATAATTACCAGAGAATAAGTTTATTCGAAATTACATCTGAAACACTGAATTCTACCACACGGTATGTTGTGCAAAAATTGTGAACAATCGGACTCCATTGATTACGTATTTACTCCTCATTAAATGTTTCAAAATGAGTACATTTATTGTAGACCGACAATCGTTGTCTTTTGGCATCAATGTCAGACTTCAATATGTTGGGCAAGAAGAGTCTCTCGAACTTTATTTTAAAGAAAGATATCTGAGAATCTTATACGACAGAAGAATTACAACGGACCTTGGAAACATACAAAATTAAAGCCTTCTATAAAACACCCAACATTCTAAGAAACGTTTTAGTTAAAGATAAAATCCCGTTTACATTCACACAAAATTGTGTCCACAGATTAGATTGTCGATTGTGATACTTTCTACATTGGAGTCTTTCCATGAGATCTGCATTGGTGCCAAGGAGCACGTAAATTACACAGAAAGATCTAATAATCATGTAGAATCGAAAAGACTACAAATTAAGTCAGCAATACCAGTACATGTTATTTTCAATTATCAGCAAATTGATATTCCATAAAGAGGCTGCATGGTATTGGCATTACTCGACATTTACCCTTACGACTTGTCAAATCTTGCATACTACTTATTATTCTTTACTGTTCTCAATTATTCTTTCCCAGGCTTTTTAGAAAAGACTTTACTGTATTGAGGAGAGTGCTGGAGGCAGTTAGCAGGGTGTGTGGTGGATTTTTTAAGATCATTGTTATTATGGTTGTGGATAGACATCTAAAATCCTGCAAAATACTGGCATGTGTTATCTTAACAGATGCTAACCATTCACTTCATTCATAACTTTCTATTTGCATATATTCTGGTAGAACAAGACGTCAATACATTAGAATCCATGCACGCAAGCAAAGGCATAACAGCACTACAATACCATATCTAGCAAATATACTATGTGACAAACAGTTTGTTGAAGCTAACCTAATCAATAACTTAAATCATTTCATTTGACTCTAGGTAGTTTATTTACTTAATCTTATGTACATATGCATGAAGTTATTGAGTTTTTGGTAAAATACTTTGTGTTGAGAATTCTATATAGTACTAAGCACATAATATTGAATAAAGTTGTTAATAATAATAATAATAATAATAATAATAATAATAATAATAATAATAATAATAATAATAAAGTAATTCAGGAAGGTTTTTCTAACCACAAAGAAAGACGAGAAACCGAAGTTTCATATCATGCCAAACCCCAATGACCTCGATAGGAAAGAAGGTCTGACTACTATTCAACCAACTTGGACTATTTATTCAAGCAACTACATTTGACTTTATTCATCTTCCAAACAATCTACACACACACACTTGATTTTAACTTCACTACTTCATACTACAAATTATACATTTCTCATACCCACCTTCACATAAATAAACACAATGATATGTCATACATAATTATCTTGACCAAAAATAACATGAATTTGACACGTTCAGATCTTTCACAGATCGAAATCATGAGTCAATTGAATCTAGACCACTATGGAAAACCTGGAAACACTAGACGGCCGTTCCGTCCTAGTATGGGACTCCTCAGCAGTGCGCATCCACGATCCCGCACCCCGCGAGATTCAAACGTTCAGATCTATTGAGATTTTGATTGTATCAGTTTATCAGCTTCGAAAATTTATTTATTTATTTGTGATCTAATAATATGCTTTTTTATCCCAAATAGATGTGAATTAACGGTGAAATATGTATGTATGCACAAGTTAATGATATTTTCTTTATTCAATTTCTTATAACTGAATTTATTGTGTAATAATAAGTGCATTGTAAGAATTTACAAAACTAATACTAGTCAATGGATAAAGTGCACAACTATTTTCATAAAAGTCTGTATATATGCTGTGCTAATTTTGCAACATTAAAATGCAAAGTAAATTTGTTAAATAGAACAAAAAAAAACAACCTAAATTTGCATTATTCCTTAATGAAAAACCGTTGAAAACAGTTGTGTGAATACTCCTAATTGTACTGTTAGCATTGATAGCGATTTATGTCATTCGAGGTGGTTTAAAGTGCTATTTTGTAAGGTTAATTTCTTCATAAGAAGCGTAAAGTACAATGTCTCATTGCAACTCATTCAGATCTACGTTTGTGATATCTGACTGATCTGATTATATTTGAAAAACATCCTGGATTAAATGACTGTTGACTCCGATAAATAGAACTATTTTTGAAGAAAAAAATCCACATAGCCAATCCTTTGATTTCGCTTAGCTAGAAATAACTAATATTTCACCTAAAATAACAATCTAATTAACAATCAATCGACCAATAGTATTGGGATAATTCATAGCTGATTAACATAGAAATGTAAGCTGACAAAAATTCATTATCTTTCAACACAATATCCTTCTTCTTTATATTTAATGTAACGTTATCGTTCTTTCGCTTGAATTCCAAGTCCCTCAATATTTTCAAAGTATGACAACTTCGCTTAAGACAAATTTTGTGATATTCATTTAATATGGCTTTTTTAGAAAGATTAATTTGCTTTGGACCGATACTGAAGTTATTTCAGTAATTCATCGATTTAACAAACTTGAATTTTAGAAGTGTTCGGTACCTGACTTTTATCACGACCACTTAAAATAATGCTAAAATGTTTGAAAATTGGTGTCAAATTAAATAATACACATTTGTAACCATACTGTCTGACGCTTGGAAGCATTAAATTAAGCTGTATTGTAGCACGTTACAACACACATCTGAGATTAAAACTCAAAAACATACCTACAAACCGATGAGTTATTTTGTCTGTGCATGTCAGATTATAAGCCTACTCAAACTTAGTAGACCTAATAGTATAAAACCTGCGAAAGAAATTTTGAGGAGTGCCATAACTATAATTGAATGTAAAGAAACAGTCAAATTAAATTAATTATAGGTGAAAATTACATTTGAAATAATCTCAGCGATCGAAGTTTAAATAATTCCGACCTTTTTTCTAGCAAACTTATCTGAACTTCAGGGTAATAATCAAAATCATCAAATCAAATTTATACTATGCTAACCCAATCATATTTAGATGTTGACTTCAATAAATAGGATAACATGAGTTAGTTAAATGCGAATCATGTGAAAAGTCCTCAATGTGAAGATAAATGAATGAATGAATGAATGAATGAATGAATGAATGAATGAATGAATGAATGAATGAATGAATGAATGAATGAATAATTGCGTATGTGTAAGATTGAGTTATTAATAGTATATTCGGTGTTAATTTGTTTCTATATGAAGAAAAAATAAAAATGCAACTTGGAGGTTGAAAAATTGTTTCTGAATCATCGATGTGCATGTAAAATGAAAACAATCAAATACATAATTGTATTGTTAAAATAACCCATATTAATTTCAGTCAGTATTCAGACTGACCCTCAGTCACCTATAATGACTTCTCTACGCTCGGCGCCCAATTTTCGTCAAACTATTCGTTCTAATATTGACGAATATTCGTATAAGTAAATTAAAATGTTGAAAAACTATCAATTGCAATCTGTCCGAAAAGGAAAGACTGAGAACAATCAAACATATTTAATATCCGAGTGCCTTTTTAAGGTGAAGAAACGAAGCACACAACATGTACAACGATATGGACAAAACTAAAAATCAAATGTACATTAAAAAATGAGTAAAAAACTGTAGAAATTTTACCAACCTGATATACAGCTCTAGCTAAACTAACGCGTTGTTTTTGACCTCCTGACAAATTGACACCTTTCTCACCAATTTCTGTCTTATCACCAGCGGGAAGATGAGCAATATCCGTTTCAAGAGCGCATGCAGATACAACATTTTTATACCATAATTCTTCAATTTGCTCTGCAACTGGATTTGACTGAGTAGGATCGCTGGATGTGACAAAACGAATATTTTCTTGTAGAGATTGTTGTTGTATCCAAGCTGTTTGTGAAACATAAGCAATGGAACCCTAGAAAAATATTGATCATTGTTTTAGAAAATAAGGAAATATAATTTTTCAAACAATACGAAGAAATTAAACCTAAAAAATGAAATAAGGCAGCCTGAATTACTGATTTGAATACAGTGATCTTGAGTGCTGTTAGAGAGATGAGGGCAGTTTGCACTTCCCGGTTGCCCACACCATGGAAGGGTTCTTCTAGAGGTACCTGAAAAGGAAATTGGGTTAAAGGTGGTCTTAGTGACCTGAGAGTGTAACTGCAGTGCCCAAGGGATAACTGCTTGAGGCCGGGTCACACAACATTTTTGCCAGTAGTTTTTGTGTTAGCTCCGTACTTGTTGAAACCTTACCGCCGGAGACGGAAATCCGTGAGATAAGGAGCGGTGTGCATTTTTAGGGTCGACGTTTTATAACTTCACGCTTCCTTTGTAGGAAGGCAGCATCGTTGTTATGCTGGTTGTCTGAAGGAAATACCTTACTGTTATCACACCTCTGTACAGCCAACAGCACGACCTCATCCTCTGACTTTGGGTTTGCTGCTTTTGATCTTACCGCTCTTAAACCGATCTGCTTGGCTTAGTAAGACCAGTATAGCTCGGTTGGTTCATTACGATGGGCAAACCCGACCACCACGTCAAGGTAGTAGCAACGGTCCGAAATAGTCAAAGTAATCAGGCAATGACTTGTACCAATTAGCAATAAAAGTATAGTAGAATCGTCTAGGTGCATTTTAGTGATAAATAAAAACAACCTATCGTTCAGAATATCTTGATGCATTCAGTTATTTTTTATGGATTAATTCAGTAGTATCATTTCGTTTATAGTGTTCAAGACAGTCAAAACAACACTTAAGATAGTTACATCTTGGCCGACTAATACACACCCACCACTCTACGAGCCTCTGTGTCTGAAAAACCACAGACGGGTTAATGCGATTGAAGCTAGGCTACAAAGTTAATTAAGATAAGCGAAACTAAGATTATTCCTTTGATTATAAGAAATCTTAAAGCTACAGGTTTTCTATAAGACATGGAAACGATGTAATTTACTAAAAGCAAGACAGACTATAGAAGATCTTAATAAATTTCATTCGAATACTAATATACCGAACAAGTATAAATTCACTAACTTTAACAGAAACCTTTCCACTTCGTTTGAACATGTCAGACAGACAGGCTGATAAGAAAGATGACTTTCCAGAACCTACGTTGCCAACGACTGCGACAAGCCACCCACGAGAGATGCGTACATTCAAACTTAGAAAAAGAGGGACGAACAACAACCAACAAAGTTTATTTAAAAAAGATACCTATCAGCAAACTCAAGTTTACTAGTTATATTACGAATTGGGCTTTGAGACAATGAAGAAATTAATAGTAAGATATTTAAATAAAATCGGATAGTGACTGGTTGGTAGTGGAATCTGAGACACAAGTTTTATCCTATTTAGGACTGGTCAGCTAGATATAATCACATCCCAGTGTTGACGTTTGCACGGTGATTTGAACCCAGTACCTTTCACTTCAAATACCTGACGCCTTATCCATTGAGCTAATGGCTTGTGCAGCTTGTGAATTTCTTGTAGTATTGAAGCGACTTGCTCAGAATTCATATATGCCGATAATGCAACTGGTCAATTACGGTCTTTAATATCAACGGGAATACACAAACACTTACAAATTCAACAGCAAGTTTTTAATCAAACCTTCCTAAATGACAGAAAACCATCAATTTTAACGATTTATTAACATATTTTAATTCACAAGCTCTCGTTGAATCGATATAAAGTTATGGTGTGAAGATGAATTTAAGCGTTTTTATTAACCAGTATAACTTTGCTTACTTTCGTAATGTCAACGGACCAGTTTTAGTCCATGAAAACGAAGCATTCTCAAAAGTAATAGCATCTGTTGACTCTAAATTAGAAGAATGAAAACGATATTCAAAATTGCAAAATATTGAAACTAAAGCAAAAATATAACAATGTTAAATAAAGTTTCATTTTAAATATACAATAAACTTAATCTATTTATTTTATTATATAAAACTCCCACACTTCAAATCAAATACCAAAAGTTTTCCTTAATATATGAGTATATTGACAAGGTTTACATTAATTCATGAGATATACAATTCACAAATGTTATGTGACATTTATGATGAATAAAAAATTTCAGTCCGCTTTCTTACAGAAAGAAAAGAGTAAGAAAACTTATTTCGACTGAACACTGTATTGAACTAAGAAAATAAATATATTTTTAAGGGGATTTTCAAGTGAATTTTACGCAAGCCTATGATTTAAATATTTAATATTGTCTTCAATAAACAAATATTCGATCTAGTTATACAATATAAAAGGACTATTTAAAAAATAATCAGAATTTTCCCTTCCTTCTATTTTATTATGCAGTTGAACGCCATGGAAAATAACTTGAAACAATATTATATCTTAGTCATGATGAGCTTGAGCAGTACTGGGAATATGAAGATTGTTGAAATATCTCAGATGTTCTGAACTTTGAAAAATAATTCTTCTTGATAAAACCTGAAGAATAGACAGCATTAGAATTGATTCGTTTACGAACCTGATAATGTGACTGTAAAGCACTAAGGACAACATTTTGATATCGGAAATACACGAACTTATTGAATGTAGTTTCGTTGCGTTGGCCCTATATTTTTGAAACTTTATTAACCTTCCACCAAATGTAGGGAGAGAATGAGAACGCTGTAGATATGAATTATCCACACCTTTGTAGACAATCCCGACTACTGAGTAAAGATATGGTAAACATCATCTAATAAATATTAGAACAAAAAATTCTCAGTATTCATTGTGTAATATTACAATAGATATCTCTTTCATACACATTCAGATTGTAATTATTCAAAAAAAGTATTAAAAATGTTTTTATAAGTCAATATCTTCCACCTGTAGTTAATCACTAAAGTTTTCCACCAGTTCAATTGCTACAACGATTTTTCTATTCAGTATAAGGTGCTTGAATTTCAATATATTTGCTTCTAGTTTTTTTCCAAAAACACATTTTTAAAAAGGATGTTATACCAAGAACTATAGTATTTTTGTTTGCAGTTTCAAGTGTTCAAAATCACAATATCTTATAACTCTTTAATAATAGCACATGAGCACATACATAGACAGTTAGCATTTATAATTAATCAGTTCAGGCAAATCTAAAACAGTTCGTTCAATGTACGCTACCACACAAAGTGACAGTGTCCAAATATGAAACACTAGCTGTGTGCATACTAATCATCAATCTGATTCACATAATCTTACTAGGTCCAATTAATCAGTCATCTCTATATAAAGAAAATGTTACGTTGTATAACCACTACACTCACATTAATATCTCCGTACAACTAAAAGAAGTATCAGTTGATTTGCAGAAAATCAGACCCGAAAACTGATAGGTTCATGATAACGCGCAATAACCTGTACTTACTTTCATCAAGAGAATAGGAGTTTTTATCAGAGGAATAATATTCTAACTCATCAGCTAAAAGAAATAAACCAAGGCGGCGAATCGAAACAAAGGCCTGCAAAATGACAAGCAAAGAAAAATAATAAGACACATACAAAGTTACTGAATTCATTACAATCAAACTGTAAAGAAATTAACACAGATAGTCAAAACAACTTAGGATCTGGACACAACTGTACATTAGCTTCAGTTACTTTCTGGTTTTACCATACACCAGCAATAAATGGTTCGAATGTGTTATATCCCTATGAGAATAATGAATGGTAACTTTTGGGATCCATTGTGGAAGAACGCTAGACGTATATGTTTATCGTATAATTGATAAATAACTACACTATTCATATTCATGTTCCTCCTATCATAAGCTTTATTTTGACCTATGAACTATTATTATACGATTTACCACTCTTGAGTTATGCCTTGTTTATCAATTACTATCTCCCACATTCACAGCCACTTTTGGTTAAATCTTGTACAAATGTTGTTTCCTATTTTATAGTACGATGTGGTCTGTCTGGTCAGTATATAAACCCAGTATGTTTGAAATAAATGATTCATATCGCAGAGGCTGAGATTGGTGTTCTGGACTTAACAGGCTGTGCTATGCGGGAAGCAGGACCGATAAGGACTCTAGACTGCTCGTATGGGTTTTATGGGTCATTGGTCCGGTCGATAATTCACTGTTCTCTAATTGGTGGTATCATTACATTATACATTAATAGGACACAGGGCACAAGTTATAACAGAATGTATGATCAAATATGTTGCCAACTGTCAAAGGTTATATTTTACAGTTGAACACTGTACTACACAGACTAAAACGCTAAAGAAGGACGCATACAATCACTACAGTTATATAAAATTCAAACGAGGAAACCGTAACAAATCTTTCGTAAATAGTTATGAACTAAAATAACTCCATTAATTTTATTTGATTAAATATTTCATCAAAACTACACACAACGTGAACGAGATGAATAAATATCAAAATTAAAGCTTTACTGACTAAAATGGAAGAGGAGTAATTAACCTACGTATTGTGCAGTCCAACAACCATTGAATAGCTTGCAGACAATAATTTATGGAAAATTAGGTTAAACTACTGTTGAAACAATACTAAATAGATTAAAGTTTAAAAAACGATTTAATATCTAAGATTTTAGAGCTTAAAAACATAGTGCTATATAACATTTTGTTGTCATTATCTAATATTAGAAGTGATATTATTCACAACAAAGAATAAGACTAATTAATAATGAATCGATTTTCACATAGACAACCACCACAAATGTAGATAAATCTAACGACTTGCACAAAAACATTACAAATATACTAATACTGACTATCACTAGCATACTAACATTAAAATACATAGCAGAGAGTATAAATGTATCATTACTAAATTTGTTAAACTCTTTACTTTCCAAAAACAAATTCATTTTATTTTTGTATAAATTTATAACCAAACCGTGGCATCAGTCCTTGAAGTCACTAACTTTTAGTCTGAGCCATGTTGGTAGATGCAGACTACTTGGTTGGGGTCCGCGTGACTATCGTAACCAATGGTTGGAGACTCTTGATGACATAGCTCAGAATCGATCACAATGGCGTCGGTGTATACACTCTCTGTCTTCCCTTAAACTAAGAGATTAAAATCGCTTCATATCTTTCTTTCTAAGAACTAATTCTTTCTTCCTGTACTATATCCTTATTGCAACCTCTGAATTAACTACTTTTATGAATCCAGTGTCCATCTTGTTGTGTTAATGAGGTATGGCAACTTGGACCGATGCATATACGTGGCTGGTCCTATGTTGTAGCTGACTGACTGTATAAATTTATATAGAGATAAAAGATATACATATTACTCTGAATTACTTCGTCATTGTACGGTAAACTATTTGATAAATAAAATTCCAACGTTCATTAATTTTAAGATGAGATAGATGGTGGTTAGCAATAGAATCCAAAGTGTGAGTTTCCTCCTATTGTTAATTTTTTTTTCCTACAATATGTAATTATTGTATACATCTACATAATTACTTCTCGTCTCAAACATGTTAATAGCATTCATAACTAGTAAAACAATAGCGTTAAATGCTTTTTCATTATTCAACCACATAACCTATTACAAATAACGTAAACAAGCTAATAGAAACTAAATACTTTAACTCATTTACCAAAAACAAGTTAGGTTTAATCCATGCCAAATTTATCTCAAAAAGATACTGGTTGACCAATGAAAGTTTATAATTAATTATAAGAAATAACATAAATCCTCTATTGCATATAAAAAAATATATATATCTGATTCTCAAGAAGTGGGCGATTAACAACAACGTACATTTGATTGTTTAGTTAATTACAACGATTAGATATATCGGGACGACATATACACAAATGGTTATGTATTTTCCAATCAATATACTCTAATAAATCCAACTGATTGTCGTTTCTTTTAAGTGTAGTGACATTCTAACTCTAGCCAGATGCTACGTGTCGTTATTGAATTCAGACAAAAACAAAAAACATGTACTACAATATGAACATATTTCAAACAATGAACGAATTACACTAGCACTACAAAATAAAATCAATATCTAAGCATGATTAGATAGTAGTTTATGTAGTGAACTGTTCTTGTGACCTGATTTATCTTGATTGATTTTGATTTTGATTATTTCCCTGAAATTTAAACTATATTGTCTCATGAAATGTTGGAAATGATATTTTCACAAATAAAATTTTATTTTTAACGAAGTGTTCTATTATAATTGAAAGCCTCCATTAAATGCAGAAGGTCGACCATCAAAAGTATTTTTCAACTGGCTGAGGTTTATACATAAAATGTTTATCAGATAGATGATAAAAAAATTATTCATATTTCAACAGACATTTAGAGCATACCATTATTGAAGATGAAAGACTCCATGGCAAAAGAAGTAGTGGACTACGTAGTAAATTGAACAAACTGACACTGACAAAAATCCGTTCAGGTGTTAACAATTGAGGTGTAGGGATATCAGTGGTATTTCCGACCCAATTATCTAACAATACATTGTGGTTGGCGAATAAGAACTCTCTTAAATAAGTAACAAACGTTATCAATAAAATAATATACGGAGCCAAATTCCAAACAACATGGCATAGACCCCAGCCTAAGGCGACACGTAATAGTTCAATTAGTTCAGATTGACGAATTGACTTGACTTGAGATTGAAACGCCTTTTCCCATGCATAAAGTTTAACCACCTAAAATGAAACAATTTTAGCTTAAAAAGGTGCCATTCATCATAACCGATAGCTAACATAGCAACTGACGCGGTAAGGGAAATGATAGTAACGCTTGTTATGTCAGTGAACTTTACTACCATGTCAATCCATTAGGAAATAGCAATATAAATATTGATTCATGAAAACTTTCATAAAACTACAAGACAAAAAAGGCAAATTTGTTACGAAGTCACATCTAGCCTGTTAATTACACAATATCTTGGTCAAATAAATGACAATTAAAAACTTGCCATTAATTTGATGATGCAATCATTGAATATACACGTCCACTGCACCACTCAGCCCAGGAGTTAAAAATGATGCATATATTTGGAGTAGATATTGTAATAAGAATTTGGTAAACAAACAATGATCTTCACTATAGTGAGATGTGACATCTAGTGTCAAGATTACTTACATAGTATTTACAATTTGCAAGAGGAAACTTTGCCCATTCATAAAATTATTAGGTAACAGAAGTGTGGAATAGTTATTACTCAAAAATGAGGACTACACATTCAAACGCTTCAAACCTGACATTTTGCAATAACATCAGCCCCAAATGCCCTGGTACGGCCGAGAGTGGGGACAGTCCGCTCTCCCTCTCGAAATGCTCTCACATGACCACGTGCATACAACCACTGCCATGGAAGTCCTACTCACTGCCTTCTCGTGGCCAGGTTTTTTTACAAAATTGAGAGGACGAAAAGCGAATGTCCGGCGCTTTAACCGGGTTGGTGGACACGAAGAGTCCACCAAGGGGAGTTGGAAAACCCTAGTTGCAAACAAATGGTGCACATGGGCTGCAGTATCCTGAAGGAACAAATGGCGTATGAACCAGTCGTTGGTCACCGACTACCAGGGGACTGCATCACCTGACGTTTCTCCACTGCCTTGTGGATCAGACCTTTAGTTCAAAGGCTCCGAGTGTGGCCCCCTAAGAAAACCACCTGCCTCAGTTTGGGAACACATGCAGTATCACGGCCCTCATACAAATCGAATGATTTATGTGGCGTATATCTATTTGGTGCCTCCTTGTATCAATGTTCATGTGTTTAAATAAACGAATAAACAATAACATGAAGGTGGCGATGACATTGAACGACCAATCTACTGATAATCAACTAAATACCTAAATATCTAAGTTATTTTGTACGACTAACACATAAAGGTGTATAAATAAACAGGCTTCTGACAATCTATTAGGAGCACTCAACGGTATATACACTTTCAATCGACTAAATGTTTCATGTATTATATATATCACCCGAAAATATTAAAACAAAACCACTAAGATAAGGAACCAAATGAGTTTATTATACGATAAATGATTTAAACATGATAGAAGTAAATTTTTTTATTTTGTACTATAAACTGACATTAATTAGACAACCATTGAAAAACAAAAATTAAGGATGAATATAAACTTACACGTATAGCAGCAAGCACTTCGCCTAAGCATTTCATACGCTTGTCTTTATATTTCATTTCACGAATCTGAAAAAGAAAACGAACTAAATGTCTACTTATTTTAAATAAAATAACGGGAACATATATAAACTCAAACAATAAAACATACTTCCACTCGCGACGTATAATTTTATTTGAGATGTTACCAACCAAACGATAATAGATTCTTATAAAGCATTACTTATGTATGTTGGAAGCATTATGTAATGCTGACGTTGAGCGTATAGTATTTGGCAAAATCGCTTAGTGAGACGGTAAACCTTCATCTATTGACAGCATGTGTATCGAGAGACTTCCCACCCTGGGGTCTTGTGTTGACTGATATAAGAATAGGTTAGTTACTATGTTAGAAGTTGAGAAACAAATATATTGAACGAGACCATAAACTTGTTGACTAATGGACTCAGTTGTATCATGAGATTTAAACTTCCTGGTTTGTATATATAATCGTGAGCCCTGCTTGTAGACGTTACGTAGCATGGTTCAAAATCTTGAGATGGTGAAGTTTGTGTTGATGATGTCGTTCAGAAGAACGATGAAGGCTCCACGACCAAACCACCCAGCTCAGAGAACAAAACTCCATCAAAATGGTTCAAAATCGTTTACAGTGTTATATATGCGCTTATTATTTATCTTACTATTTCAATAGGAATTAATGTTATTCCATATGTTTCATCCTTTGATTAAATTTGTGGCTTTTAAATCATATTCTGTATTTAGTTTCTCACTACAGCTAATATTACTATTTCCTGTCTTGTGATGTATCAATGTATTCTCTTACTGTAATGATATATAAGATTTAGAAACTTGAGCACACTTAAATTTTTGTGCAGGGTCTACTGTTATTTATAACTGGTTGATGAACAATTTTCAATAACCTAAATATGATCTACGGTCATAGTTGTAATCCCAATGACCTATCCTCAACGGGAACAGAAAAACAAAATTAACCATTCACCGATTGGTAGAGTAGCCAAATTTAAGAACAACTATAACTTAAAAATAATACTGTTTACCTCAAATTTTTGAGTAGCCCATATCAGTAAACAATTAAGTGGCAATACTAGCAACAAAAATCCAACACCAGCTATCGCAGCTGAACCAAGTTGACGCCATAACAAAATAAACGACAAACCAAATTCAATGAATGCATCCCAAACAAGGAACGAGAACACTAGAAAAAGATTTTAATATAGAGATTATTTGAAGATAAAATATAATGACCAAAGTTGTGTACATTCGTGGTCAGATAACTGAGATTATGATGTTTACTATTTTGGTAAAAAATAATACGGAAATCAATTGTTTAATATAAATACCTAAAACGGATATTAGTAATATTACACTGAAAAACATAAACTATTTATTATCACGTAATAAATATGTCATTGTTTATTAAACACTTAAATAAGTTTCTACCAGCAGGAGTTAAATAACACGGATTGCAGGAATGTGGATAACTTTAAAGTTTTACAGAGTATTAATAACTCTATTTTACATACTACTGATTTATTGCCATCAAGCTGCGATTTTAACAGGTTTTCAATGAAATACTATTGAACAAGATCACGAAGTATAGCTCCTAAATCATTGATATTGTTAAGTAAAACAATAAAACAGGTTAGTAAACAATGTGGACAACTGGATACCACATATGTTAACCACATTACCTAGACTATAAAAACAAGATAATTTAGAAAAAATCGTTGACGTTACAAACCAGAACAAACAGATCATTTTCATATGAAACATTTCTGTATGATTTACCATTAGCGAACAACCACTAGTAAATTGATCTTCGTTGAATAAATATTCCAAACGATTGTACATTCAATCAAAATTAACATGTACAAAATTAGAAATAAAAAAGTTCACAAGTAAGCTTGCACGATGAATTAATTACCAAACTTACTAAAAAGTTCTTTTATACGATTCACATCAACACTGAGCAAATTTATTAATTCCCCCGTTGTATACTGGCTTCGAGCTTCAGAAGATAGTCGAAGAGACTGAGAATAAATAATAAAAATATATTACCCAAAAATTTTCTTTAATTACGAGAACTATGTTGAATGCTGACAAATTAATAAGCTAAGCTCACTTTTCGATAAATTGCAGATGTAAGGGCTGATCGAACAGATATTCCCAAGGATAAACAAGAGTAAAAACCCTTTTGATCCACCAAAACTGATATTGACTGAAGAAATAGCATTGAAAATGCAATAAAATATCCTTGCCATGATGGAGCTTCAGGTTTGGAAAGAAATCGAAGTAACATCCTAAAATAAATGTGAATAAAATTGGTTACCATGTAATATGAAGTTAATATTGTTAATGTCTTGATTCTATCTCAATAAAATATTTGTAACATACGTAAGGATTGATAATGTATGGTCCTTATCTGTAGGTACAGAATCTGATCAACTGGTTTCAACTAACTAAACAGATAACGCTCGGAAGACAGAAAAATTGAAATCCCTGGAGCGTTTTAACCGTAAAAATATCATCCTCATTACAATTCAAAATTTCCAGACAATCCTGGTGAAAAAAGCATAACAATGGAAATAATACACATCATACTAGATTACACTACGTCCATATATGCACTTACCCGAGTAACAATGGTGAGCTGTAGTTGAAGAATACAGCAGCCGAGATTAAAATCCACCCGCAAAATAGACGCAAACCAAAAGATGAAATAAGAGCATAGAATAATCCCCATGTGGCACGTGCAGGACTGGCTTTAATTGTACTCTGCTTACATACTTCTAGATTATGTGAGTTTGAGTTGTTATTAGTAGTAGATGGTGACAAGATATCAACATCAGGTGTTGCATTCAACATATTTGCATCATTTGAGACATTTTCAGTATCTTCATTATTCTCTTCAAAGTCCGTCAACAACGGCACATCATCATCCATAACATTTGAAAATGGCGTTTCTGATCTTAAAAAATTGACCAGAGAAACAATAATTTTGGAGAAAAAAACATTTAATTAAGTTGCAGAACCTAAGTTTTATGTTGTGTTATAAATAATTAAGGCTTAATAATTAGTAATTCCAACTCAAGAAAATGAAAAATTTTAACGCAAGTGAGAATCAGTCAAGAAACTAGGATTCATTGTAGTAGTATACAGAAATATACATCGGCAACATGCTGCGTTTCATACTCTCTGTTAAACATTAGCGATCCTGTTCTTCTGTGTCGATAAAAAATGTCAGTTAATCGAATGTATTTAAAGCACTAAGAGCGGTTTATCTAAATCATTAGTCTAAGTAACGTAGTACAGATACATGTACTTGACTGTAATATGCAGTTTTTCTTCTACAACCATAGTATATAGACCAAGATTGAAACCTTTAAGTAGAGTGCTTTAGCCACTACGTCATCTGTATCAACAAATCTAATGTGAGAGTTATTTACTAGAAAATCGACCATAATCAAGCACAAAATTAGATCACTTGTATGAACAGAGTTGAACCTACAACCCCAAATGACATATTTTATAAAAATTAATCAATAAATCACGGTGTGAATAAAACCTGACGTTTAAATCGGATTTGTGTCATGCAGCTGTAGTGATTTTAAGTAGTAAAGCGATAATGAACTTTGAACTCTTCAAGTGGCTGATAATATAATAATATATAATTATTTGTGAAAGTTATAGTATATTAGTGTTTATAAATAGACACAAAGTAAAAGATTTATTTTTTACAGGACTCATACGACAAACTGCACTTCAAAGAAATGCGTGAAGGACAGCTGACAGCTGCATTCCAAATGAGGACCGTAATCGGACAAGGCTGATTACTTTCCCCCCTTCTTCTCTCTTCTGGTGGCCAACTGGATTATAAGGACCTATACATTTCAAGAAAAACAAGGAATACAATGGACAGCCCGGAATCAACTAGGCGATTCGGACTTCCCAGATGACCTAGCTCTTCTATCCCATACACACGAAAAAATGCACGTCAAGACAAAAAGTGTGATAGAAGCCCCTGAATCAGTAGACCTCAACATAGCAAGATCTACAAATACAACACAGAGAGCACCAACCCAATCACGCTTGATGGAGAAGCTCTTAAGGAGGTGAAAACTTTCACACATCTGGACAACATCACCGACGAACAGGAAGGATCTGACTCGAATATGAAGGCACGGGTTGGCAATGCAAGGGCTGTATTTCGACAGTCAAAAAACATCTGATAGGTATCTTCGGAATATTTCTCGCGTACTACAGAGTGAGCAATGTTGAGATTAAACCCGGGGTACTAGACAGGTATTGTAAATCGGTCGATAAGATTGTGAATCTTTATCAACTGAGGTGGTTGGAACATGTACTATGCATGTTCAACAACCGCCTACCTCGACGCGCGATCCCGGTATAGGGGTAGGTTGGAAGAAAACTAGAAGGGCCTGGACAGAAATTTGGAACCAATCCACTAATTCATTAATTGTTGGGTTTAACCATGCCAGTAGGTGGAGGCTAATTGGTTTGGGTCCTCAAATGTATCGTGACCGATGGGTGGAGTAGGATGGTGGTTGAGAGTCAATTTCAATAGCACGATACGTTTACTCTTTGTCATCCCTTAGATCTTATGTTCAAAAGTTATTTTATGATCATTATGATAAATTCCTAATAATCGCCTCGAAAGTAATAATAAGTTGTCTCATCTACCAACCACGGGTTTGTATACTCACCTTTGAACCGCTCTGCTTGTGTGAAGGCTAGTGACAGTAAATTGCTGCACAAACCGAAGTCTGCAGAGCAAGAATTCGACTTCCGTGATCTGGTTTTAAACCTACTGCTTTAACCAATAATAATCTAGTATGTAATGTGTTTGCGATTGAACGACTTCTAAGATTGGCCTATTAAAAGGTATACCTTAACTAAGCTTAATGTTTCGTGATTTATTTTACTAAGCAGCTCCATATAATGAGACATCTCATTGAGATACAAAGTCGGAAGCCATTACAAAGTGAATACTTACTTCTTTCTCGTGAACCAAAGATTATAGGATCTACGCCAGGCACGCTTAAATCGACCATAACTTTCATTAACTGAATCTTCAGGACGTATATGAAACATATCTGAAGGACTGTTAATTTGACCTCGAAATCCTTTCCAAATAGTACTGCATGCAAAATCAATGTTGAAAAAAAGATCAATAAACGATTCATATAAAAAAGTAATCAAAGTTTCTATAATAGTATCAATAATAATATAAACGACAGTTTATGCTTTAAATTATCAGAGCATGTAACAACTTTCAGTAGTCTAGAGAAACCTAGTGCAATAACTGACAACTTTGGGAGCGAAAACTATTTACTGTAAAACCTAACAAAAAGGAAATTTTTCGTGAGTAGCCATCGCTTGGATACGCTTCGTATCAATGGATGTCACCGACCGATCGACGTTCTTTCCTCTCATTTTAAAAATCAATAATTCGATCATCAGTCAATATAAACTTACTGCGTAACAGTTAACAAAAGGTTTAGGTTGCCGAAACAAAACATGACATCAACACATGCAGTCATTATCTGTCGAACTATATCACGTCGGGAGATGTAAACTTGGCAAAATTAACGAGAAAACTGTTATCTGTAGTTGAAGATGACATACGACACAGTACAAAGTCGGTCTCAGTAACACATATATACATTTCTTATCTCACCTATATTACTAAGATTAGTATCATCCCATACTTTTATCCCCTAGTTTTATTTGTTCATTTCATGATATATTTCAGGTTTAGTTCTGACTATAGTTATTATCATCAGTTCACCATTCATTGGACTTTCATCTAGATTATTCCATCCCTTGTTGAGCAGATGTAATGTAACTTATGACAATACATATTTGTGAAAGGTTCAACGCTGTTTATGAATGAATAATACGTCGTTTGTGTACAGTTGTGATCTAATTATGAGTGAAGTGATTAAAATGCGACTCCCTAGACAAACACTGATTATAAACACCAAATATGTCCCGAAATTTATCAAGATGACATACCTTGTCAACCAACTGAAAGTCCATAAAGCCGGAACAGAGGCCCATAACTCTGGACAGGCGTCCTAAATATATGAGAAATGAGAAACACATATCATGCATGTTACGGCTACTGTCTCAAAATAAATAAAAAAACAAAGCTACGGTTCCCAGTGTTTGACAATTTTGTAGTTCGCACAAATATACTTTAAATCAGAGCAACCGTACTGTCTGTGGTATATAGGTCTGGTCCTAAATAGCAAAGGATTACTTGGTCCTTCACATCAAATACATAGGTTATCCAGGAAACGGGGTTTCTTAGGTTGCATAGCATCTTTAGAAATTTCACTAAAATAAACTTATCACAACGTTTAAACCTTATGTCACGTTAGCATCTCTGTAACTGGGATGTCGAATTTTGGCCATAAGCTCCTGATGCACGACTAACACAAATTTGTTTAAGTTGGTAGTAATAAATAATAACTCCCAGCGCGAACATATTCGATGGCACGAAATGTGTAATATTTCAAAGGTTTAGTTACTTTGTTGAGATCGGTACTATTTCAAGCCCACATAGGTTATTCTAGCCCCTGGACAGATCAATCTATCCATTCTTCTTAAACCACATTTGACCTTGTTAATTATTCGCTTATGTAAGTGTGTGAACATTTCTTATCTTATCACATGTCTGTAACTCGTTTTTGTTTGACTATAGATATCGGTTCACGCTTAGTTAGGTTGGGTTGGCTTAGGTGCCTCCTCCATAGCGCGTTATTTCTCTCCGATCTCTTCTCTTAGGTTCGTTTCTTTGATCGTTTGTCTGGATCAACGATTGTATGAAATACACGTATTCAAAATCCATTCTCGTATTTGACTTATTTAATTCCGTTATTCACTAACGTGGTTTAAGTCGATAACTATATGCGGGGACTAGCGATATGTGTATGTCGATAACAGCCATTTACACGATTAACCCGGAGTCAGATCACCGGAACACAAAAACTTAGCCGCCTGGACCAAGGGTTAAAAGCTAGTTCTAACGACATTATAGCGATCATAACATTGGAAATCGCACAATAGATTCGGCCCATTAGTTACTTCAATGTAATGACTTAAATAGACTTAAGTTTTATACAAGACGAAGGGACAACATCGATGACGTCGAATGACTATACACTTACTGGGAACTGAAAAGCTAATATTACGACCCAAAATAACTATGATACAAAAGTGAACAGTTTAAAATCTAAGATTTCATTCCAGGAACTTACTTTGTCATCAAGCAAAGAATTTTGTTCATTAAACGGTGAGAAAAACTGAATAAGCAGCTCTCCAAAAGCCAGACATATATAGACAGAGATGGTAGCTGCATGAATCCAGTAAAATGTAAACTGAAAATATAGAAACGAAATTGCAACTGTCAAAAATTCTGATCAGCATTTCGAATAACCGCATGAATTAGGTACACATTTGAACGTTTGGTACGGAGAACTCACAGACAAAAACAATCTCGTAGTGATTAGATAGCGTTACCTGAAAAGGAAACTGGGTCAGAGTTGGTTTTAGTGACCCAAGAGTATGACCGCAGTGCCTAAGGGACAACTGCTTGAGGTGATTCACACACGACCCTTTTGTGGGTGATTTTTTTGTTAGCTCCATACTTGTTGAGATCCTACCGATGGAGACAGAAATCTGTGGAATAAGGCGAAGTGTGTGATTTTAGGGTCGACCTTTTCTAACCCCACCATTCCTTTATAGAAAGGCAGCATCGCTGTCATGTCCGACCGTTGCAGTTACCTCGACGTGGTGGTCGGACTTGCTTATAGTAATGAACCAATCGAGCTACACTGGCTGGAACAATCGTCCCCCAATATCCTACCAAGCTAGACAGATCGACTGAAGAGCGATAAGACTAAAAGCAGCAAACCCAAGGTCCGAGAGCGAAGTCGTACTGCTGACTGTATAGATGTGTGAAGACAGTTAGTTGTTTCCTTCGGACAACCAGCATTACAACGGTGCTGCCTTCCCACAAGGGATTATTTTAACTAATATAGCATCTAAAATACTAGCCTCAATAGTTATCGGACGCTTAACTAAAACTCGTGAAGTGAAAGCACAGGAAAATCAGGCTGGCCTGAAACCTAGTCTTGCTTGCATCGATCACATATTTACCATTCGTAGAACAAAGACATGCTTATCGACGTCCGACAATGATTGTTTTTCTCGACTTAAAGGCAGCATTTGACTCTGTAGACCGCTAGATTCTGTGGCAGTGTCTGTCACTGAAAGATGTACCTCAGAAGTAAATAAACTTTGTGAAGGCTCTTGACTCGAACACTACTAACCGAGTCATAGCTTATGGTGAACTGTCATCTAATTTTACAACCTCAAGTGGTGTCCGTCAAGGCTGTTCACTATTTCCACTTTTGTTCAACTTCATCATAGACATACTGATGGAAATAACGCTCACGTAGACTGAATTTTCGGGCATTGATCTCCTACCAGGAGGTCCACTTATCGACTTAGAATACGCAGATGATATAGTCCCGTTTGATGAAGACGCTGACAAAACTCAGTCTTTTGGTAGCACTGAGCAACAATGCCAGCATATTTGGAATGCGTTTCTTGTCCTCTAAATGCAAATTACTGCTTAAGAACTGGTTTGCGTCAACACATGAAGTAGTTGGACGCGTCGACAACTTCACTTATCTTGGAAGTCTGATCAGCCCTAATGGGTTGGTGTTGCACGAAATCTCACCACGGATTCGAAAAGCTCGCTTGGCTTTTGTAAACTTACGTCACCTGTGGCGAAGGCAAAATATCTGTCTACCAATTAAGGGGCGAGTATGCTGTGCGGCAGTTCTGTTCTACTTTACGGCTGCGAAACGTGGCCATTAAGAGTAGGAGATACTCGGAGGCTACTAATAATTGATCACAAATGTCTTAGAAATATCGCTCGCATCTGCTGGGATCACCGGATAAGTAATAGTGAGGTTAGACGCAGGGTATTTGGGAATGGTGGTAAATCAGTTGATGAGGTTGTGTGTCTTCGTCAACTGAGATGGTTGGGCCACGCATTGCGTATGCCTGAATACCGATTACCACGATGAGCAATGCTGACTACTTTTGCAGATGGTTGGAAGAAAGTTAGGGGCGGCCAAACCAAGACGTGGCATCAGTGCTTGAAGTCACTGACTTCTGATCTTAGCCACATTAGTAGATCCAGACTACTTGGTTGAGGTTCTCGCGACTATCGTAACCAATGGTTGGACAACTCTGCGTAATATAGCTCAGAATCGATCACAATGGCGTAGGTGTATACACTTATTATCTGCTCTTAAACCATTAGATTAAAATTACTTTATACCTTTCTTTGTACGAACTAATTCTTTCTTCTTTTATTATATCCTCATACACAATCTTTCTTTTATATATTACTACCATTGAAGTACCTACCATGAATTTGGTGTTGACCTTGTTGTGCTGATAAGGTGTGGCAACTTGGACCGATGCATACATATGCCTGGTCCTACGTTGTAGCTGACTGGCTGGTCTCTGTCATGGTGGTTGTCTGAAGGGAACACCTTACTGCCGCCACACCTCTGTACAGCCAGCAGTAGAACTTCGCTCTCGGACCTTGGGTTTACTGCTTTTAGTCTTATCACTCTTCAACCGACCTGTCTGGCATAGTGTGGCCGTTATAGCCCAATCGGATTATCACAATAGGCAAGCCCGATCACCACGTCGAGGTAGCCGCAATGGTTGAGTAAAGTGTACTGTCAACTTTTCACTTCGCTACCCCATCACCATCACTATCGTCATCCTAACTAGCATCATTAGCCAGTTTAAGTATGACTGATGAACGCACATATCAAACTCAGTACAAAGGCTAAACAGAAAAATAGTGATGTATAAACTTGACGATATGACTCACTAGATAGACCAAGTTAACTGGGATGGCAGAATCGGGGTAAGACTACAACCATAAGTTTATGAATGATCATGTACGAAACTGTGATCATAGGATTACTACTACTAAATATTCCTTGAGTATGAGGGTATGATCGAAGTACATAGATGTTAAATTTATGGGTAAAGTGAACGGAGATTCACATTCTAAATTACAAGAATAATAAAACACTAATAAAGCTGCTTATAATATAACATATACGAAACATTTTGTTATACATTCTACTTCCATATTTTATAAGATTGTACAAAAGTAGCGGGATAATTGCTGATCGTATATCAAAACCGAATATACAAATTAGTACTGAGTTGCCCACTCAAACTTACATTAAAACTGACGTAGACTATGAATAACTGTTCTCTATTTTTAGTCAGCATATACATAAGAACAAAAACTTATTAAAGTCTCACTTGTTTTTCATCAGTTCTCACCATTTCAAAAATGTTACCTATGTAATTCACGGCTTTAAGAATTAAGTGATAGCTTGTGTAGTATTAAGGTGGTAAGAAATGTAATATGAGATCCATCTCAGTGATATATTATAATATATTTAGGATACTTTGATGAAAATAATTAAGTGAAAGCTGAAAATTGTTCTTTTGCAAATATATGCACTTTTCTTACTTGGTCCGACCATCCTTTTCCAGCATATAATAGACCATAAAGACGGGGTAACATGCATACAATTATTAAGCACGTAAAAGCAAACAGCATTTGTGAGCGTGGTTGACAAGCACGGCGTTTATACTCGACTAATAGCATATGAGAAACCTGACAAATAATAAAACGGTCAAAAATTGATGCTGCTATAGAAAAAGCGAAGGTTAAAACGCGAATTCACTAAAAATCACAACTAAGAATTAACTGAATAGTATGTAGAAGTAACAATAGAACCCTAAGAAACCAAGTTGATTAATCATAGGAATTTGTGAAAACACTAAGTAGAATAAGCGATATACAGCACAATACAAGTAAGGGTTATTTGAATATGACTAGCAAACTGCATGCTAACAGTATTTTTGGACAGTTGTTAGCATTGAAATCTAGGAAGCGTCTTGTCCTATTCGAGATTCACTAAGTGAATGCAACCGCATCTGACAATTCATATTTCTAAATTCCATACTATAATCTGTTAGGTCATGGAGAAGCACTGAACAGAGTCAATAGAAAGAGAGTAGGAAACGTCCATATATATGGTTGATATCATGACAACTAACATTTAATGGACCCATCAGTTGGGATGGCTGGGACACGTGTTACGTATGCCCAACGACCGAATGCCTCGACGTGCGATGTTCAGTGGTATAGGAATAGGTTGGAAGAAAGCTAGGGGCGGCCAGACCAAAACATGGCACAAGTCCATGAAGTCACTGACAAGTAGACTGAGTCATGTTGGTAGGTGTAGACTACCTGGTTGGGGACCGCGAGATGATAGCAACCGATGGTTAGAGACCCTGAATGATATGGCTCAAAATCGTTTTCAATGGCGCAGGTGCATACACTCTTTGTGTTCTCCCAAATTTTCATCTCCCTATTCCTCCTTGTCTCTTTTTTTTCTCTTCCCAAATTTATTTCACTGTATTATACTCTTTAAGTAACATCTCCAAACGCTAATCTTCCCGATTAGTGCTTATACTCTTATTACCTCTACCACTACGGGATTTGAATCGACCACTGCATCTCTGTGCTAATGTGGCGTGGTAAGTCGAACTGATGTACGTACGTACGAAGTTCTACATTGTTACTGACTGACTGATTTAATGGACCGATACGATGTATACTACTAGTTGCAAGTTCGACATTTCCTCGTTGTTAGTGTTTAAGAATACACTGATTGTAAGGTCTTTAGCTGTCCATTGAGAAAGTACCAGTTTATTAGAAGTTGTGGGTCTGAGCTATAATTCCATCTGGCTTTGAATATAAGACTAGAAACTATTAAAAGCAAAAATAATACAGTTGTAGATCCAAAGCCCGTTAAAATTGGGAGTAAACCAGCAATTTTCAGTAGAAAAAAGTCATGGTGATCATAAGAACACGAAAACAATACTTGTATGACCTAATATGACAGAATATCTTATGTGCCATGATGAAAGATATCCATAATTGATGACAAATCTAATTAGTGAATCCAGTTTCTATCTTTAGAATACTCGTAGTACTCCGCTCTTTTGAAGCAGTTAGAGAGCTAGTGCTACCAATAGTGTTTATATCTACCAGTCGTTAAAGACTTAGATAACAAATGAAACAGAAATCCACTTACAACTGAGACAAACAAAATGGTCATGGAGAAGTACTGCACAGAGTCAATAGGAAGAGAGTAGAAAACCTCCATACATATGGTTGATACCAGTAATATAATTACACATACAGCAATTCCAGAACAAAGAACCTAGAACTTTAATGCTAGAAAAAACAACAAACCATTCGAAGACATTGTAAAATTCCGAATTTTATCAAAGCAATAGGAAGGTTCCACGTGTGTTTTTTGAATAGCACGGACAGTATAAACATGCAAAACAAGGTTAATCCAGGAAATGTAAGCATAGAAAATTGGAAACACTCTGACAACTTGAAATCCGATCCCCAAACTTCTGTAAGATTCTATGACATTGTGACTAAAAGTTATCTTGGACCTACGAAGAAGCTGTCCGAGCAAAACGGTCTTTTATACGACGGTTGCTCCATCGCGACAATAACAGGACTCATATGAAAAATGGTGGAAATTTAATGCAGGCGGTGTCTAGTGTTGTAAGCATGTACCCAACCAAGGTCATATCCAAAAACCCACCATAAAGGTCACCGAATTTGAATGCAGACAAATAAAACTGAAAACAGCTTCTCTTTTAATGATTCCTTCATCTAAATCCTCCTGTATTTGTAGCGAAGACCAGTTGTGGAATCGTTATGTGACCTTGAGGTCAAGTTTTATTGGGGATGTTTTATATCACTGAGTCTTTATATTTTAGAACATAGGCAACTTAAAATTGAACTTTTATTGAGTTAACTTGCCATTCGCTGAGTCGACTTTTTCCAAAATTTTATGCTTGATATAGTCACCACATTTCTATTTGGCTTATCTGCCAGTCAACAGTAGTATGTCTGAAATACACGCATCCCAAACGTGTTAACAGAACACATACGAAGTTAAGAAAGATAAAGGTTTAACAAGTGCCTATATCGTTCAAACAATGGATGCTGAAATATGATCACAATCTGTTATGTAAGAACGACCATATACGGCAACCTAGATGCTATTAAATGGTTTCATGTGTTATAATCACTTCTCAGAACCGAATTCCCTGTGGCTTTTCATCCTACCCACAAGGAAGTGTATCCGGAAAACTTCCTGAAAGCGACTAGTTCCCTTCTAAACAGAGAGCAATAATCACTTATGTGTGTCGAAATTGTGGACACTACGTTTATAACAAAACTCCGCCAGTAGCACTTCAATGCTTACTGCCACCAAAGTCGGAATGGACAACACTGGGTATGAAAATATCATGGGACGACATGGACTAGGAGAAAGAAATGAAAATGATGGGCGATTTACAAATTTGTGTGCGCTTAACAAAATGGTCATGGGTGGCACTATATTCTTCACAAATGCATACACAAACCCACATGGGTGTCACTGAACCATGCCACAAAGAATCAAATCGAACAAGTCTGCACTAATAAAAAATTCAAAAGATCCAAAGAAACACCTCAGCAAATGTGAGAACTGCGGAGGCATTACAGTACTATCGATGCAAGGAAAAGCGTTTATTAGCGTTGATGAACCGAATGAAAAAGTTAGTAGACGCCCAGTTTTGAGATCGACAGGATGGATGCTATAATCGGTTGTTTACAGACCGAAATGCAACAATACATATCACCGTTGATTAGTCAGTTGAATGTAACTCGTCACTACGCATCAATTTCATTGACTATGTATAGGCGCTTGACAGTGTGGATAGGACAACATTATGTAACCTTCATTGATACAACAGCGTACCTGAGAAGACTCATACGACAAACTGCACTTCAAAGAAATGTGTGAAGGACAGCTGACAGCTGCATTCCAAATGAGGACCGTAATCGGACAAGGCTGATTACTTTCCCTCCTTCTTCTCTCTTCTGGTGGCCAACTGGATTATAAGGACCTATACATTTCAAGAAAAACAAGGAATACAATGGACAGCCCGGAATCAACTAGGCGATTCGGACTTCGCAGATGACCTAGTGTGGTGTTTGAATGAACTAAAGATATCTTGGTACTTGTGGATTGCTTGATTCCAAATTCCAAATACAATACATTCGTTTGTGCTTGTGTCTTACTTCTTAATTCAGTTGCGTTAATTCTAGATTCCTAGTTTATACGATAATTCAAATACGTGTGAATATTATACTGGCGTCGCGATGGAGCCTGCGATGGAAAAGTTAGATATTCACTCAACTTCGGAAGCTTTTGAGGATTATTTGGAAAGGTTTGAAATCTGGAGCATGACTAAGAAAGATGTTAAAGGTGATAAAATTGTGGCAAATTTCCTGACATTCATTGGGAGAGAAACGTACAGCTTATTAAAAACTTTGGCATATCTTGAGATGGTGGAGAAGATTTGTAGCTCAGGTGGATGATTTTGGTGTAGTTTTGTTCTCTCAGCTGGATGGTTTGGTCGTGGAGCTTTTATCGTCCTTCTTAACGATATCCTCAGCACAAACTTCAAATAGAAGTGAAGTGTTTGAATTTCTCCAAATGTCTTTCAAAGCTTGTTCTGTGCACCTCGATGTTGATTGGTTCTTATTGACTTTAAATTCGTCATTGTTTATTTCTTTGTTTTGGTTGTCTCCCATTGTTTTGATTTTTGTTCTTATGTTTGTGCATGATTTTTCTGATTGGTTGATAAATTGGATTGATTTCAATATGCTTGTTGATTGCTGATTGACCTGAGTCCCAAGCTTCTAAAAATTCTCTGGTGTTTTTGGAGTTTCCTCTGTCTAAGATTTCCACATTTTTCCAATCGAATGAATGTCCGCAGTTGTCCACGTGTATTGATATAAGTGAGGAGATATCATGCCGTTTGACTGCTCCATTTTAAAACCTTGTACATACACTTGTACAGATTATCACTTTTGCGTACATATCGTTTAATTTGCCTATTTAGCGATTCAACACGATTATTCGTGCTGTTACCCGATGTTAAAACATGACCGTAAAAGGCACGCGCCCACATTGTCTTACGTGCCATCCAAAAACGTGACAGGTACTGACCTATCAATCTGTCCCGCCGATTTATTATTCTGTAATATTGATTAAATCTATTGAATAAACACATTACATAAATTACCTTCCAACCGTCTCCGCAGTTACCAATCGAGTTAAGTAGGTTTTCATTATTTTGTCGTTTGTCTAAGCGCAATTTTATATAAGTAACCATTGGTGTACCTTTTTCCAGAAAGCGCGAATTACATGAAAGGCGCACAAAATTATGTTTGCATGTCCGTGTGTTATACGGACAGCCGCGCTTTCACATCTTGCGCAATCCATCACAAATGTTTCAGTCAACATTGTATCCCCCATTATCTCTTTGAATTGATCTAAAATCCATATCACATCAGCACGCTTTTCCCTTCGAGTCCACACAAACATTACAGTTCGACCTCGACCGCAATTATCCGTCACCACTAACTGGAATAAGGAATATCTACATTGTAAAATACAACGATAAACGTATTAACTTTTTATTATTAGTATTATACGTAGAATCAATGCACACAACTTCTGGATATTTTCTGTACAGTTGTATTTGGTTAGAACTACTGAAACATATTCTAGTGGCATATCCATTTTCTAAATGTTCCTTCACTTCGCCTTTCTGTCTAAGTATATCCATTACCTGGTTCCGAGTAAAACAACCTGAAATATATTTATATACACTTACCAGTGGAGAGTGTAGCTTTCATACCTTTGACATCGGCAGCAGTTACTTGCTTACCAGTTCTCTCCTTAATGCTTTCGATAACTTCATCTGCTGACTCACAGTGAAGTATTACGGGCTTCAAGTTCTCTTTTTCTTCTGACGATAATCTCCTTGTCCATGGATCACATACCATCCATGAACTACTACATGGATGATTGTGGAGCATGTTGTAGGATTTGATGACATATCCTTGCTCCTCTAGTCTTACACGAAATTTAGATTGACAATTACGGAATTTAGACCTTAAACATAAGATATTAGTTAAAGATCTTACGATTTTTGCCTCACTTTCAAACCTTCCGATTTCCTCTTATGACCAAACGTACAATTAAACGATACAAACAGGTATTTGAACCTGACATCCTTCAGCAATCTGCTTTCTGTGTGGATGTAACGAGTATAAGTAGTCTGAGAAGCGATAAAATTATAATTCCATACTTTTTGGAACTCTTTTAAGGCACTTTCAAAATCATCCCACAACACGAAACGCTTGTTCAGTATTGTTATATCCGAGTGGAGATTAAATTACAGGTAACTTCCGAGGACTATTCATGGACTGATATTCTATAAATATTCTTATTGTATAACTATTCAACAATTACATTATGTATATTTATACCCCTCTTATGACAAGCTTTATTTTGGCCTATAATTTATTATTGTACGATTTACGGTTCTTAAGTTATGTTCAGTTTATTAACTACTGCCTCCCACATTCACAGCCACTTTTTGGGCTTATTTGTGTACAAATATTATTTCCTATTTTATGGTACGTTGCGGTCTGTGTGACTGATATATAAACCAAGTATGCCTGAAATAAACGATCTGCTCTGATTCGAAGTTGGTATTGTGTTCTGGACTCAAGTGGAAGGGCTCGTAGGACATAGGACCAATAAGGACGCTAAACTGCCCACACAGCTTGAACGTCATTGGTTGGCCTAGTGTGAAGATTCGTATAAGTCGTATCCGGATTGGTAGATAAGTCGTGTGATCGAAAAGTCAGACATCCAAGGTCATAACAAGTATCATACTTCGAAAGGCATCGGTTAGGTCGACTGAAATGTCACTTGAGCATGAAGCACTAAAAACAGAAATGACTAATTATTAAGAGGTTATTCCTTGAAACAATAATAACCCAAGGAAATACTACAAATACTTAGGATTTACCTGTGACTTGACATTTCGTTGAGCTTTACTACAGTTGTTGGGATCTAAGATCAAATTACAAAGCAGCAACAGAGCCAAAGTGTACACTACAAAACAGAGGACGCTAAATTAATGGTTTTGGTATTTATTTCGTGCTTTTTTATGTAGCATAAGATGACTTATATATGAAAAAACTTGATACTCATGCAATCCAACCAACCCACGGCAATTGAAATACGGAATGACCGCCTCTAGTCAAGCCGTTCAAGGTCGTTGAAACGAAAGGGCGGGCATATTTCAAAAGGACCTAACGTTTAAACCTTGCCTTTTAGACCAGATATGAAACGACTAGCTCCACTGACAAATGCACTGTCTCCAAAAAATCTCACAGGATTACGTTCACTGGCGGGTTTTCTTCAGTACTACTCCCGTTTTATTCCTAATTTTTCTTGTCGTGCAAATTGTTTATTTAATATTTTGACATTCAATTCATTCAAGTGGAGTGAGGAACAAGAGTCATGCTTACGAAGTCTACTAAAGTCTCTTTAAAATGATGCCGTTCTTCGAACGTACTCCCCTAATGTACATTCTGTGCTTATTACTGATGCATCATCTGTGGGAATCGGTGCAGTTTTGGCACAGGAAGGTACACCAGTTATTTGTGTTTCACGCAA